TTCCAAACCTCCAGTAGGCACCAAACAAGGACTTGGCCCTGTCAGTCAGACAGGAGGGCCAGCAGAGCTCTCTGCTGGACCCTTGGGCCAGCTCCCTCAGGAGCTGGGGCCTTTGTTATTAATCGTGCAGTGGCAGTCTGGGAACAGTACTATACTGCTACCTCCTACTGCTTCTGCCCGGCCTCAACAGGATGGTATCAACTGCTGCGGTATCAATGGGGCTACAAGCTAATCAGGATCGGTCTCAATCTTTTTACTATTTCTTAACTATGGTAGAAAGGACGATCCTTTCTTGCTGCTTTTGCTGGAGATAAGCCAGCTGTGGGTGCTGGAGCTGTAGGCCAGCATAGCTGTTGGAGCTATCTCTGACGGGATCAGAGCTCTCGCTCCTAAAAGTTATCGCTCCCCACGAGTGCGTATGGATCCGCTTTCATGGGAATGCCACGATATACGATTAGTTACTAACTAACTACAATACATACTCTCCCATGAACGAACATTCATGGCCACTGGCATTGACTGCTAGTGGAACACAATGTGAGATGGGGGATCTACAAGTGGAGGGACTTGCACATGGTTGGTGGTTGCTGGACCAAAGGTAGGCAAAGGGGTTGCCTGCTTCATCAGCATGGCCAGACTAGGTAGGTGTCGGCGGTGCTGGTTGCTTCCGTAGTTCTTGTTTTGTTTTCTTCATATGTAGACAATATTTGTGGCTTTGCCACAGGCCGAATTCAGCGGCGGCAAGCTCTCAGTGGAGCGGCCTTCTTGCCCCGCAACCATGTCCCTTGACGGATGGGATGGATGGGCTGTACCAGACAGGGAGTAGTCTAGTTGCCCGTCCGAAAATCCAGGGACGGTGCTAGCAGCACGGACTGGAGGGCTCCAATCCTATGTGCCATCATGGAAGCAAACACATGATGGAACCACATGCCAAACACTGGTGAACTCCCCATTGCCTTGAGCAGAGAGACTGAGACTTGGTGCTTGGGACCTCGGGCTATCCTGTAGTGTGGCTGTGTTGCTGCTGTCAGCATTGGTCGACTGGATGGCATTGCTGCCAAAGGGATCCTCTCATTCGGCACAAGCCTTGTGGATTGGGAGTACCGAAGAGGGGTGTTCCGGGAAGGACCAAGCTGGGAATCCTTGGTGCGTTCGACATGGTGGACACCTGGATCTCCAGCCAAGGTGTGGTTGCACCTGCCCTAGAAGCTGTTGCTTGAAAGCATCCTGCTTTGGGTGTGCACTTGCTTGCAAAGGGATCCTCTCGTTTGGCACAGCCTGGTGCACTGGTACCAAGAGAGGTGGCTCTGCTAGAACCGCGTGTTGCTCTTGTGTGTCGCCTTGATGGGCAAACTGGGGCATCCAACATGGGTTGGTTGTCGTCTGTCGAACAAAGGACGTGCGGTCTTGGAAGGGACAACCGTGGTATTGATTACAGGTGGGACTCCTGGAATGTGTGGAATCGTCCTGCTAGAATCCTGTTGTGCTGTGGGCTACAGTACTGGCCTCCCCATAAGCCAATGTAGAAGCTGGGTGACTGCTGGAGCTGGAGGTAGGCAGCTCTGTAATCTCCCATCACCCAGTGATGCATTGGGAGCACCAGTAGGGCAAATGGTTGCACCGGAGCAACCAGGGGTGGCATTGGGCAGCTGGTTGTTTGTCGCTGTACTCGCAAAGGACGTGTGGCTGGCGGCTCTCCACAGCTGGCTGGGCTGGTATGGTATCCTCCTCTTTTTTTACTCCTGAGGCACGACAAGGCTCCCTGAACTGCCTGACTACCGCTGTCCCTGAGGAAGGGTTTCAGCGAGGTCCAGTCCACTACTTCAGTACTGGAACTGATCCTTCTAGAAACTTATTGCGATACTTTGAGAGGACTCTTCCATTATATCCCATTTTGTCACCGAATTCTGAGAAGGGCACCAATTCACTCTCAGTGTTTGCTTCTGCTACCCCTTGATCGGCGTCCTCCTCAGCAGCGGCTTCTTCTGGGTGATCCCTCCTGTATTGACGCAGCTGGTCCACAGCATTGTTGTAAATCTCAAGGGCCGAATCCACTTCCTTGCTTCGAGCTTCGGCCTTGGCTTTCAATTCGGCATAATGGGCACGCACAACCTTCTGCCAACTCTTGATTGCACGAATTGGGGTGTTCCTATATTCCTTTGGATTCACCTGTACAAGGTCGAAGCAGGAATTTATCCCATGATCAAGCAATCGGCGAATTTTGGTGGAGCCCAGATTGCGCAGAAAATTCTTTTCCCCATGATGGTTGTGGTTATCCTTTGATGGAAGCATTGACTTCAAACTCCAATCTGCAAGTGACTTGTTCCTAGCTGACTCATAAATGGCTCTGGCGGATCTCACTCCAGCGGCAGCTCTATCTTTCGCGGCGCTCAATTCTTCCAGTGCAGTTAGAGGGGCTGTACTGGTGGCATAGTCTTGAATCGTCTTCTGCTTTTTCTTAGGGCGTATTTTGTCCAGTCCGATTGCTGTAAGGTACAGTTGGTGGTCTTCATAATACGCAGTATTTGCCAGTCGAACCAGCTTTTTGGCTATGGTCGCCGTAGCTTCCTTGTGAGAACTCTCCACAATGAGTGTATGCAACTCGGCATCAACAGCGTACCCATGACCAAGAAAGAATGTAAAGAATCCATAGTACAGGGAGGAATCCAGCTGCATGGACTCTTTATTATAGCCCGAAAAACGTCTTCCACACCTACTGCAAAGGTATAGCATGGTGTCCAGATAGCGAATGCGTGAGACCCCATAAAGGACTTTGGGGCAATTCAACCAGCGAGATTTCTTCAGATCAACTGCATTCCTCTTCTTGCAGTGTGGGCAACAGGGAACATGGTTAGGCACTAGTAGATGCGGGACGAACACAGATATGGGCTTGATGTAAAAGCTTTCTGGGGTGGACTTCTTTCCACGTTGGTTGAGAAGTTGACTGTCAAATCGGCCTTTGGTGGGAGCGATGCGAGTCCAGTCTCTTGGTGGCTTAAAGAAGCTTTGTCCTTCACTGTCAATAGAGTCTCTGGTCTTCAATACAAACTTCCACTGTGATTCAGATAGCTGCTTTGGACGGCGTCGGCTCATGGTGGTGCACTTCCACGATTTTGTGTCATTGCCTCTTGTTATCTTGTGCACCGAACCAGTAGGGTTAGGGACGGAAATTTCGATGGAAACATCGAAATTTCGATTTCTAAGTAAAAATATTTCGGATAGCCACATTACATATACATATAGAAAGTACAGTTAAACTTCTACGATACGTCATGAATGGACTGGTGGATATAGAGGGTAGGAGATTATGCATTACACGTGGAATTATATGAGAAGAGAAGAAAAGGGGCGACGACTTCTAGGATGCACACCTCCTCCCCCCCCTTCTTTTTTCCTCCTGCGCGGAACCAACATGGGGCATTACCCTAGCTAGCCTGGCCTGTCCCTTTCAAACCAACTAAAGTCCCACACCTGGACCAACTCCAGGACTTACTTTTTGGACCTACCCTTGGTCTATCTCCTGGCCCCATCACCAGACCAACTCAGGATCTAGTCCAATACAAGGATCAACTTCTTTGGACCTACTCCTGGAGCCCTCCCAATGCCCCACTCCTAGTTCCACACCGGGCTTAAATCAGGCTGCACACAAGGACCTACTCCTAGACTTACCAGGTGTATTTCTAGCTCCAGGACCCACACACGTTTCAAAATTCGGATGCTACAGGGGAAGAGCATTGATGCGCTCCTAGTTCCTAGTAGATGTGCAATAAGTACAAGCTTCAAAGGTTTGGAGCTATCGTCCAACTGGCACAGGGAAGCAACCTCTATCCAGCATTGCTTTGATGCGATCCCCATAGAGTATTTGGTCGTGAGCATCGTCACCTCTGGGATGCCGATCTTCGTTGTCGTTGAAACCAAGATTTGCAATAGGAAAATCATCGCCGTCCAAAAGAAGGGTGTGGCCTACATGCTTGGCTCTAAAGAAATTTGCCTGAGTAGCGACTCGATCGAACTCTCCGTTGAGAACGTTGATGAATCTGTAGTGATTCTGTGGATTGGCTTCGGTGCAAGGGTCTTCATACTCGTCGTGGATAGCCCGAGGAGCACCAAACGTGATCACTGTTGGCCTATAGACATTCAGGTCTACGGAAGCTACCACGGCTGGCATGATAACAGGGTTGGATGACAAAGAGGTTAGGGGTGGTCATTTCTGGATACAGACATTCGTGCTAGCTGGTAAAGAGTGGCACGGACCTGCGGCTGCGTGAGGGAAACACGCGAGAACGTGAGAACTTCATGGATAAAACTTCCATGCAAACAGTTGGTCAAGACATGCGACCGTACCTCCTCCCTGCGAATGACCTGCAAGTATCAACGGGCAAAGACCGTCGCTACACGATCGGACACATGCATCCACCTAACAAAAGAAGAGTTCGAAGCAAAACCCGAATGAACAGAGGCGGAAGAGCTTTGATGGCATCGACAGTTGACCTGACTGAGCTCACCTCGGCCCTGAACTCGCTGTAGTACGGAGTAAAGTAAGCAGTTGAGTATCCTTGGCGAACCACACAATCTGTTCCATCTACGCGTTCATTCAATATGATGATGTTCTGAAATTGATCTAAAAGCACATGAATGCACAAGATTAGTGGTGGCAACGACAACGGCAACAGCAGCTTTCCAACCAAAACTGTCTCAAATCAGATGACGTACATACCAATTAGGTTGTTGCCTTCGGTTGCCATAAAGACGGCGAAACAAACATTAGTGTCACGTGTTTTGGCTACGAGAGCTTGATCATTCCAATCGGACCAGCCATTGAAGCTTGCGTAAAATTGCCTTTGCCTGTCCAGCATACCCTCAATGGGTCCCATCTCTTCTCGGAACACCAGTTTAATAAATTCAAAAGCCTGAACGGCGTCTCGTATGAATTCTTGGGTCAAGTTAAAGTCGATTCGAGTTGGATAGCTCGGGCAAGTTTGTTGTTCCAGTTGCAGCATGGGGGGAATAATTTCAAACTGTGCCCGCCTCCTTAGTATTTGGGGTTTGACAGGCCCCGATTCTGTTTGTTGTTGGCAAGAAACACTGTTGAATTCCAGCGGGTGGACCTGCGCCATTTGAACAGTTCCGTCTGACAGCGTTTTCTTGGCAGTGGCGTGAAGCGCAAGGCAGGAACCACAAGGAAGCTGCACCCCTGCTTCCAATAAACCTTGTTTGTGGCGCAGGTCGGAATCTTGTCCAAACACGGTCTTGTTGTTCACTTCCAGGCGAACCTCGTCTAGCTCCCAATCAACAGGAGCCGGTTCGAACTCGACCAACACGGTGTCTATCATCTCCGAATGCATGCGAAAGCAGAGGGATCCCACGGAACATGACTGTTTCTCATCTGTATCAACGTCAGCAAATATCTCCACTGGGTGACAAATCTCTCCTACAGCGTCGATTAATACAATGTCAATCAACCCGTGAACGCTGATCGCACAGGTGTATGCCATACGCAGGAGCAGCAGCAGAGTCGACAAAGCCCTCATCTTTCTCAATTCATTTGGAGGGAGTGATCGAATGCAAACGAGAATCGCATCAGAATCGATGCCAGCAAGCTCAAAGGGCAGCAAGTGAAAAGAGGATCTTCTGAGTGAGTCGAGTCAGCACGAACTGTGTAACCGTAGATAATATATCTTTCGCACGAATGATGTTAAACAAATCTGCAGGTCGACATGCGCCGCTCTAAGTATCCTTGACTTACACGAAAGCAGGCAGGTGCACCCAGTCACATTTCTGCGATACTCATTATTTTAAATTTGGTCTTCTCCAAATCGCTCAATCGGACTGCCTCCGACCCCTGCAGACAAGAAATAAGAGTGATGCCATCGACCCCCTCGTCCCGACGAAACATTTGCTCCCTCATCGCTTGCGACGTGACCCCTTTTGTGTGGATTATTGTGGTGGAATTGAAGCAACCAAGCAATTGACCAAACGACCAGACCATGTCGGAATCATCTCAAGTCTACGGATGCATCGAATGCGGCATGCTCTTTGCGGGGTGGGAGTTTTGCCTGGCGCATATTGAGCATTGTCGGCCGCAGCATTACCTGGAAGTAGACAAAAAGACACTGAAAGAGCTCTGTATGATTGGACATCGTCGATGCATCGTTCCATCGTACCAACCAGCCATGATCCAGGGGGATTCGTCGTTTGAGGGGTTTGGCGACGACGGTGCCAATTTGGAGGAAGACTGTGCTTCCAAGAGTTCTTCGGAGGGAAGTGCCGGAGAGACGACGTTGACACAAGACTTTCTCAATCCAGTAGAGGACGGAATGCCATCTGCTCATCACAACCACCATCACAACAAAACCAGCAATAATATCCTGCCAAATCTCAGAATGTTTCCCGCGGGTGAACAATTTATGGAATCGGAGCAACGAGATGACTTTGAAGGGGTGAGACAAGGAGTGGAATATGATGACGATGATGAGGAATTTGACGCTCAAGAGAAGATGGTATTGCAGCTTTTTGACAGGGAAGACCACAAGTTTTCATTTCTAGGAAGCAAGTCCAGCGCTACCATCCCCACAAAGACTAAGCAACCAGCTGTAGCATCCACATTCTCCGGACGGGAGAGGGATAGCATGCAAGAACAGCACTATCAGTCACCTTTACAGAAACAGTATCAGTCACCTGTACAGCAGCAGCACCATCAGTCACTTGTACAGCAACAGTATCAGCCGCCCTTGCAGCACCAGTATCAGTCACCGGTACAGCAACATCATCAAGAGTCGCCTGTACAGCAACATTATCAGTTACCTGTGGAGCAACATCAGCAGTCGCCTGAACAGCAACAACAGCTGTCACCTCTACACCAGTCATTCTTCAACCCAAACGGCGAAGATGACTTTCCCTCCGTCATGAAATCTCCCGATACTGGTAGTTGTAGCGAAAGCAAGCATCAAAAGAAGCTTCATCGGATTGAAAGGTCACTCCATCGGTTGATTCGTGAAGCGTCGCCGTTAGCTGCCGGGAAACCAAAGATGGTGCTGTTGGGGATCTTACCCAGGGTGTACGAAGTGCAGTTTGGTACCAAGCTTGAATATCACGAATTGGGATTCTCCGACCTCAGAGACTTGATAGATGCCATGCCCAGTATATCATTGGTTGTAGACAGCCCGTATCTTGGCATCGAACATGAGTACATTCGTCTTCAGAATCCAAACGATGAATATATCATACAGGAACAGTCGGACGATGAAACGCAGCCCGAGAGTGACGACAAGTACAACCTCAAACAACCCGAGAACGTCGACAAGTACAACCCCAACGCAAACAGCATCCAGCATCCTCCGTCCCAAAACTCGAGCTCCGAAAACCTGATGGAAGATACAAGCCTGAGCAACGAGAAAACGCCACAGCATTCCAACTACATGAAAAAGCGATTCTCCTTCAGCATGGGAAAGAGTAGTTCCGGGTCGAGTGAAGAAAGTCTTGCGTTGCAACCCATTTCGGAACAGAGTGCCAGCGATTCCAACGGAGATTCACGTTCAAGATCCAGGAAGATTCTTCAAGCCAAAAGGGAAAGAGGGGGTTCTTCTACAGAAAAGGCCGACGATGATTCCGTAGCAAGCTCGACAATTTCATCCTGCGGATCCTCCAAATCTGTGATCCACGCCCTCGCAGAAATGCTGCCCAATACCAATGCGTACGCCAGCATTCTCCGTGTCTTGTCCAGAAACCACAAGGGCACTACCATTGGAAAAATCATGGTCCAAGCCCCCGAGTTCAAAAACTTTCTGAGTCATTGCACGGATCGTCGATGCGAGGCTCAAATCAAACTAGCCCACTCCGTGCTACAGCAGTGTCACGGAATCTCGTACCAACGCACCGCGAATGGAAATATCTTGTACAATAAGGCCTTGAACAAAGAGGTGTCAACACCTTACTCCATTGTGACTAGTCCAAAAGGGCTGCATCGACGCGAGTACTTGCACCAAAGAGTCAATAATCAAACTGAGAACCAACAACAGATGTCTCGCGACCCAGCGCAAAAGCCATTATCCATTGCCACACAGTTAGATTCAGACGACTCATCATCTCAGCTCAAGATTTTGTCGGAAGAGGCTATCGATGAAGTGGCGGCAAGACTCTTTGCAGCATCCGAATTCGTGACTCCCACCTCGTCGCCTCGAAGGGAAGCCGCCTCTCGACCAGCCAGAACCAACAATGCCGACGGCGTCTTCCGAAAACCCCAGCATTTGGACACCATATCCACTCAGAGTGTAGTTTACTCACATGGACGTGCAACAGACTCTGCGGCGGCTGGATCGAGGGGGGTGTCTCCAAGGGACAATGCCCATGCTTGGGCCAACCCTCCCCATACTCCCCGTTCTACAAAGGCATTGTCTCCTCGTCATTTCAACATACAATCACCTGCAACGACACTCTCAAGAGAGCAATCCATTGCCGAAAGCGCAGCAAAGATGTTAGCTGAAGCGCAGTCCATGACGACACCAACGGCGATGATATTGGCTGAGACTCTGTCTTTATCAACTCCAACGACAGGCAAGCAGCATGGCACTCCCCTCATCCAGAGACCAACTTCAGGGATGACGACTTCAGAAAACGCAGAGATGTCTCTGAGCGACGCACACGAAGAGAGTACAATGACCATAACGTCAAGCAGCATTGATCGCAGCGTCAACAACAACCATGGTGGAAGCACGAACCCGAAACGAAGGATGTATTTCTTCACTGATGCCATGTCAACAGACCCAGAAGAAACAACAACCCTTACATCACTAGCTCCATCTGCGACTCCAGACAAATCGAATGCAGGCGACAAAGGCAACACTGCGGGACACATTGGAAGACCGAGAAAGCAGGGGGCGTCGAAGGCCATGCACACGTCGGCAAGCAGCGTTCATTCTTTGGCCCTCCCAGACGAAGTCATTGAAAAGATTGCGGTCGATCTCTTCCCTACCACAAACATGCACTACAGACTCCTCGTGGCACTCGCTGAACACCCTGGTGGTATGACTTGGGACCAGATCAATGCTTTGATTCCTCCCTTTTCCGACTTCGTCGAAAGGTATGCGGCAGAGAAATGCAGAGAAAGCATCGACCCCCAAGCCGTTCTTGACAAATGTGTTAGTGTCGACAAGAGACAAGTGGAGGACAGATGTCTGTTTTTCATCAATGCACCGGACATGATGCCAACTGGTTCTACAATGGCTGAAAGCAACAATAATAACGTCAACAACCGAAGCAGACCCGACGAAATATCGTCAACCAGTGATATGACAGAAGAATCCTCGACCGCATCGAGTGGTCCCGACAGCATCAACGAGCCACTGGTATTCTCGCTTACATATGCTGGATCAGACATTATGGCGACTCTATGCTTCCTTCGAAGATTGAAGGAAAGTGTCAAGGATCGACCGTGGCCAACCTCATACCAACAAGCGTGGCAATGGTTAATGCGCTTCGACGAAGAAAACGGGGCTTCGGCGGGCAATCCTGATAAGCCGTCCGTGACTAGTTGGTTGGATATCCTGACTGAGGAGGAATCAGCCCAATCACGTGTCAAAACAAGGCGACAAGCAATGCACATACTTCTGAATTACCTTCAACGATTGAAGTGTGTAAGTCGAACAGGTCCTGACCTTAGTTGGAATCCCAGGGAAATTGCTTCCACTTTGGCACATACCGTCATTTTGCAGCAACAAAGCAAATTGAACCACTACCTCGGCAAAACCCCCGTTTCTTACATTGAAACTAAGGAGCAACTGCAAAGGGCAAAGGAAGGCGAACCCTTCTGCTATTATCACGAAGGGGTAGTGACAGTCAGCTGCGAGGGTGCTCCCGATGATCTTCATGTCATTCAAATTGGGACCGAGTCGATCACGTATATCTTTGACTGCGTCAAACTCGGCACCAAGGCTGTCTGCGCTGTGCTCTCCAATTTGTTCAAGAGTGACCGTGTCATCAAAGCGTTTCATGACGTCCATCACACTGCAGTTGCCCTCGCGAAGATTGGAGGGATAGCTGAACCGCTAAAGAACTTATTGGATACACAGATTGCAATGGAGGCACTTACAGGGGTATCAACAATGAGCTTCAATCGTATGCTCCGTCAGCTCGGAATTGCAGCCCATCCCATAACAAAGGCCTTGTCGAGACGAAAAGACAAGTTCTGCAATAGACCTATTTCAAAAGAATTGCTCTCCTACGCTGCAGATCACGTTGATCTGCTTCTGGTGAGTGCGTCGACGCTGATTGAAACCCTTCGAGACTCACCGTCCACCGAAAAGCAAGAGCTATGGAGCTCTATCCAATCGGCATCCGAGATGCGGGCCGTCATGGCAGTCGAGAAAGATGGAAGACGCAGCATATGCTTTGACGTTGCAAATCAACACAACCTATCGTCGCTGGAGCTCCTCCTTATTCAAAGGCCTACAGATATGTATGAGTGCCTACCACTGTCCTATTCGAATGATGCGGCGGGTCTCTTGAGTCTCCTACCAGGGGAATTGGTAGAGAACGTTTCCGCCATTGAGTTCCATGAGCACGTTTCGTCCATCATGTTGGACCAAGGTCGACCTGCAATGGCTTGGTTTGACGATCACCAGCGCGTCAATCTGGGACAAAAGGATCGGCTCGTCACAGCTAGTGACATTGAAACAGTCGCCAACAGCGTGGACGGCTTCAAACAAGACGGGGATCTTGCTGGGCTTAATGGCCAACTGCACTGCATATCTGCCGTTCGCAATCCGAAGCAAGAGCTCATCGGTTTGACCATGAGAGTTGGACGGCACGTCACTGGTGTTGCTGCTATGATATCTGATTTGCTGTTTGCGGATCCGTCCAAATCAATACTCTTCATTGGCGAAGCTGGATCCGGCAAGGTAAGGTTACCCTTCGTCAGCACACGGTTGCCCCTCTTAGCTTGCATCGTACTCAACCCTCCTCGCGTCCATACGTTTCTACCTCAATAGACCACAGCGCTTCGAGACGTAGCTCGACTACTCTCCGAACGAACGAGCGTTTCCATTGTCGATACAACTTGTGAAATTGGAGGGTATTCCGACTCACCACATCCATCAATAGGCATGGCCCGAAGGTTCATGGTAGACAAACGAGAAGATCAAGCAAGATGGATGAATCAATGTTTCCGAAACCAACGCCCACGCGTCCTTGTTGTAGACGAACTGGAGAGTTTGTCTGATGTGAATGCAGCGATACATTGCCAGCGTCGCGGGGCTAGACTGATTGCGGCTACAATGGGGACTTTGCATGATGTCATGGAGGATTACAACCTCTCTGTCCTCATTGGCGGAATCAAGGAAACACGCGAGTCAAAACAACGGGCGACTCAGCCCGTCTTTGATGCGATCGTTGAACTTCGGAGAGGAGCTCTAAATGAGTGGAGGGTCATCCCAAATACGTTGGAGGCGGTGGATTCTATCTTGGAACACAAGAGTTACATGTCTCAATTACGAATCAGAGACCCCGAAAAAGGAAGCATGCAACTCGAACTGGATCGAGTGTGCATGCACATGTAGCCAGCTATGCTTTATAATAATCAACATGATATATTGTGCATTCTCGGTCAGCTGTGATTGTTGGTGTATTTGGTGGTCTGGAGTCTCAATTGTTGTCGAACAACACCATTGAGTTGATGCTGGTAACGATTTTCGACTACAAGGCGAGCTCGACGACCAAGGAATGTTTTTCTAATATACGTTCCCCTGTTCGAAGACGTAGTCGGCAAATGGCTGATATGCCTTGCTCAGACTTTTGGAGAGCTCATCCGGAAAACAGAGAAACTCTCCCGCTTGCATCGATTTGACCACTTCCTTGGCCACTGAATCTGCCGAGGCTATGTCCGCCCGTTTCAAGTCTCCTCGCTGTGAAATCATATCGGTTGCCACAGGCCCTGGATGGACACTCATCACAAAGGTGCCCTGTTCTTTTAAGGATGTTCGCAGGGCTTGTGTCATGGTGAAGGCGGCTGCTTTGCTAGCAGCATAGGTGGACACGGAAGGGATTGGGCAGCGTAAACTTCCCACCGAATTGATCTGACAGAGAATTCCCCCTTCCTTGAGCAGGGGTGCAAAGGCTTGCGCCACATGGATAAAGCCGTACACATTGACCTCCATCTCGTGTTGCAGCTGAGCCACTGCATCACTTGCAGTTGGAGTTGTGTAACTCAGAATCCCTGCATTATTGATGACAATGTCGACGTCGGTTGCTATTCCGGCGGCTGCTGTAATGGATTCAGCCTTGTTCAGATCCATGTACAAGGGAACGACACGGTCCTTGTACTTGTCCACTAAAGGTTGTGCCGTCTCCAACGTGCGAACGGCCGCGTAGACCTTGGCAGATTCTGACTCCAGGAATGCTTCCACCAAGGCTAAGCCAATTCCCCTCGAGGCGCCGGTTATCAACACAACCTTGTCCTTTATCGGATACTTGCTCATTTCTCCTTTCCCTGCTTGCTCTGAATTCTACATGTACAGCTACTGTATGATGTCTCACAACAGCAAATGCACCTGCGCCTCATGGATGGATTTCGGATTTCAGTGGATATAATCTGTCAGAGCTGTATTGACACAACAGTTATATTAACGAAACCTGATCTATCCAGACCATCTCTGGGCTTGTGGCTGGCTACCGGAGTACCGGCTTTAAAAAATCCCCTCCTATGGCCATCCACAAAAGCTTGACCAAACCCACCATCGGACACCCCCCAGTGAGTGTCGTTGCTCTCCACTGACAAGGCATGGGAGCTCAAGTTTCCACCAAGTCTTCCAGGTAAGCAGGACATGCATGGAAGTATGTACGACCATTCTGCTGGCATCGACTACCTTCGGACACAAGCAAGGTTGTCAAGATGGATCATGAAGATTAAATATTATTCTAAAACTATTGCTTATGGAAACAATAATGCAATTGGGTATACCGGTATCCTCTCCTTGTGGGCTGGTCAGAGCAGCCCAAGTCGTTGTGCTTGTTGGGGCGGAATGGAAGGCTAGAATGGCAACTAGGCAGCAACAGCTGCCCTCAGCGGAGAAGAAGGAATAAGAACAGCATTTGCAAAAATGCTTTCAGCAATTTCCTTTGAAGCATCACATTTGAATGTGGCCATGAAAGATTCCATGAATCTCAGTACGGAGACTGCAAGGTCTGGAGAAGCCTGACATCGATACAATATCTGTGCCAAATTGTTCCAACAAAACAAAGCAACTGTCTTGACAGAGTCGAACATAATGTTGTTATCACTGGATATGATGCTGATACAACTGGCATATGCATTAATGGCCCGTTGTAGCTTTTCACTGTCGCCATTCTTCAAGCCATCACAATGTAGGGCTAGTGCTGTGTTGAAAAGTAGAATAAGACCAATCATACCAATCATACCAGGGCATGCATCATTGCTTTGATCATCCAGCTTGAAGCACATGGCTTGATTGGCAATGTAGAAGCCATCATCAGCCAAGCTGGGAATTGTAGTTGCCATCCATGGACCAGGCAAGCGAGCTGTTGGACAGCGGACATGAGTCGCGCCGACAGTGGCAGTTCCATTGGCATGGATGTTGGTTGTGGCGGTGTTGCGAGCGGCTATCACATTGGCAACACTGCTATCAACACAATCTGAAGTTCCTGCAACAGTGGGGCAGACAGGGAGACACCTCTCCCGGGCGAAACAAGCTTGTTTGAAGAAGCAAAGAGCATCAGAGTCTTGGCCAACGGCAAGGCTTTGGACTCCTTGATTATTGAGTTGAGCAACCACTGCGATGCATTGATGAGGAGTTGAACATGTCGAGGTTGGTTCCATTGTGAAGTTGATGACGAAAGCAAAGCATATATATGACAAGCAAAGAGACAAGTTTATGGTGTCATCATCATTCGTGTGATCATGATATAGCACCGCTGGTGAACGCGGTACGTGCTCCATTCCTTTTAACCTTCAGGTTCTTTTCGCAGAGCTGGAACAAAGAGCAAAACCAACTAATAAAGGCTTCCGTAGATAATTTCCCTACTCTAAAAGTCTAATAAAGGATTCGATTCTGCACAAAGTGCTCTCATACCGCTCGTTCTAGAGTCTTCCCCTCCAGAAGCGACTAGACAATCTTGGACAAGGAAAGACAAGATATGTGTAACGAAAATGGGAACGGTTGATTGTTGATTGCAAAGACGAATTCTTCACGGACAGAGCATGGACGAACAGGGCGAACAAGGACACAGGCAGAACCAAATCCCAGCATTATCCCAGCCACCAAGCTCCAAAACAGACCAGAGACAACTCCGTCTGTTTTCATTCGGAATCTTTTCCTGCTGGACATAATGTGAGTAGTTAGCTCTTACTCCGTCTTGCGTGTCACAGTGGAAATTGTGAATGCCACCAAGCTCCAAAACAGACCAGAGACAACTCGGTCTGTTTTCATTCGGAATCTTTTCATGCTGGACACTGGACATAACGTCAGTCGTCAGCTCTTCCTCCGTCTTGCGTGTCACAGTGGAAATTGTGAATGGACACGTCCGTCGCCCGCTGCCTGACCCTTTGTCCAAGAGCCTTGTTTGTCGCAGTAATTTAGGGTCGTGCAGGAATAAATGTCTGACGAAAGAATCGAATCATTCGAATCTTGGCGGTTACTCTGAGTGGACGCGTGGTTGTTTCCTTTTCCTTGACGTTCCACTAATAAAAGGCAGCAATGTAGAAGCCGTTTTCTAGACCTAGTTTAAAATACGTACTTTTCTGTCCGTCCTACTACCGTTGACGTCCTGATCTCTGTCCTTCTTACCTGTAAAGAACACGCATAAAGAACACCTCTATGTCGACTCAGGCCTGTCGTTTGTTCTTCAGCACACAAACTCAGGCTCCTCGAGAAGTCACGATAGGATTCCATTTACTAGCTGGTAGTATCCAATTTTGTCGATTTGTCGAAGTATTGCTTATTCTTGCAACAAACGAAGCCCACGATGAACACAACGTCCACATTAACCACAACAAGCCTTCCTTGTATGTCGTTGGCTGCAGAACTGAATAATCAGCTTGTCGAAAGCATTCTCCGCGGCGAAGACTCCAATGTCGTTTGTTGCTACTTCAAGAGTGCCTTTACAGCCTTGGATATCTCAATCAACGACCCCATCATTGCAAACCTGGCGAATTCTGGCAATGGAGCAGTTGAGGGGGGCGCCTCCAGTACCGGTACGATCAATTATCCTGCGCCTGAAGCCCTGCCTGGAATAGCTTCCTTAGGTATCTCTTTGAATGACTCCGGCGGTGCAAACGTTTCGAATTGTCATTATGATGCCCGTGTCAACAAGGATGGTGTCGCCCCATCACCGCCTCCACATACCGGTAGTCAATGGATAGCAACCGCAATCCCTGGAATGGCTGATACTGGCTTCTACATTGCCAATCAAGCTGTCAGCTTCAAATTGGGTGATCAAGGAAACACTGTATGCCCAAATGCCACTGGTCTGTTTCTGCTCTTCAATATGGCAATAGCCCTACATTCTGACGGCTTGAAGCAAGGGGACAACAACAAGCTAGACCAGGCTTGTGTTTTCTACACCACTTGCATCCAGTTTTTAACCAAGGGTAGCTTTCAATACAGGGACAAGGAATTGGTAAATACGATTGCTTTGTTTTGCTTCAACAATGCCGCACAGGTGTTGTATCGATGTTTGAATTCCCCAGATGTTGCAGCTTCAATACTGAGATCCATGGAGTCTTTCATGAGCAAATACAGATGCAATGTATCCCAGGAAATCCTCAGCAATATTTTGGCAAACGCTGTGCTGATCCCAACTTCTCCATTGAGAGCCGCCAATGCAGCCTAGTTGCCACCTCCACTGCCTTTCACCCAACAAGCCCACACTGGTGGCAACTCATCAATGGACCATCCAACAGTGCACACGATTCGATTCATATCTATTCAGAGACGACTGCACACAATGCATCGCGTTTAAACTAATAGGACCGCCTCAGTTACGGTACTCGCGCACACAGTCCGTTGCTCAAAGCAGTCACTTTTACTACCCACTAGTAGCTACCGTGGCGACAACGGTGGCGACAACCAGTAGAAGACTGTACATTTCTACGTGAATGGTGGGAAAACCAATAGAATATTTGGCTATTGGAATACGAAAATAGGAATGGGACCTTGGAATCGGAAAATGATTCATAACAATAAGCAAAATAAAAATTCTACTGGTTGTAAATTTATCCTTGTTGACGCCACAGTAGCTCTAGACTCTAGCTAGCTAGAGCTACTAGCTAGCTACCGGTAGTGCATGTACTACTAGCTAGCTAGAATGCGGACAAACATTGGACATGGGAAAAGTGTGCCGCGGCTGCCGCCCGCACTATTGAAAGCAGGCTCGACGGCTCGACCGATTTGCTTATTCTTGGACTGCCCCACCACCACACCATGTCTAGCTCCAGACCGGCCTCAGCTCACACAACACGAGGTATTCAGATTGGATGTGCTACGTCGAAAGCTCCCCAATAGTTCTCTTCATGTTTGTTTTCATTAATAACAAGAGTTGCCTCCAGGAAGTTGCATTTTTTCGATTTAAAAGCCATGGTGCGGAACAGATGTGTTCGACGTCTTGGTACTACTAGCTAGTGGCGCCTGCAGCTGAAACAGATTGGAAAGGGCAGCTGAAGAATCGATTGATCGAAGAGAAAAGACCAATCACGGACCAACTTTTCAACGGGAAAAAGCCGACGCTAACTAGAAAGAGTCTCGAAAATGGCCAGCTTGCAGCTACCGTATGTTGATGGAAGAGATGCCACCGGTACCAGGTACCCTTCACAGCTCCATTAGCTAGCTAGTAAGTAAGTCAGTCACAATGTCATGTTACCAGGGCTATGGTGTTCGTTCATTCATTCATTGATGACAGGCACAGTCACATCCACAGAGACGCTCCGTGCAATCCACCTTGAGAGAACATTTTTTCTCCTTGCCGTTAGGATTGAATGTTTTACAATCGGCTTCTCCCCCTTCCAGCCAACAGAACTGTCCTGGTATCGTTCCAGAAAGCAGCGAATTGTTTTTGAGATGAAGCACTCGCAGTGTCGACGACGACAAATTGCCGGGAACTATGCCCGTCAGACGATTGTCGTTCAGCCTTAGCCATTGCAACGACGTCAAACGCTCCAGCTCGGTTGGGATGGATCCTGTCAATGCATTGGACTCAATTTCGAGGAACCGAAGAGCGGTCAGCAGCCCCAATTCGGAAGGAATGGTTCCGTGCAAGGCACTATTTGGAAATCGGAGAATGGAAAGCTTTGTCAACAGTCCCAGTTCACTGGGAAGATTCTTGTTCCATGAATTGAATCCAATGGAAATGTGTTCCAAGTTGGTCATTTGTTGATATATCACTGTGGGTAGAATATACGGAGAACTAACGTTGGTGATTCCATTGTTCCGCCAAATAAAGTGCCGCAGCGATGTCAAGAACGAGAGTTCGGGTGGTACCGCCGCATTGGCGACTTGAAATCCCACGTTGGCAGCCGCGGCAAGATGTATGACGATATATTCGCCCTTGTCGTTGCAAATGGACCTGCGACTATCATGATATTGAAAGGCAAAGTTTGCTTCGTCAATGAATTGTCCAAAGTAGTTGGAATACCAGTCACATTCCGAGCGTGTCGTGTCGAGCCAATCGGTATCGATACCCAATGGCCATGATGGTCCATCAAAGGCATAGTAGAATGTAACAAGGGCGAACAATTGTCGTCGCCTCCATTGTGGTAGATTGGTAATGTTTGGGTGTTGTTCCAACCACTGGTATGCTCGGGTCTGGGGAGAAAAAGGGTCCTGTAAGCTGGAGAGAGTAAAATCGGGTAGATTCGTCAAGATCCAGGCGGGTGGCACAGTGGCATTGCTGCTGCTGGTAACATTGCCATTGTTGGCAATGGTTCCATTATTATTATGGCTGGAAGCAGCGCGTTTCATTTCCTGATTTTGTGTATAGTTGTCCGTGGCAAGTGTCACTATCAGAGCCAACAGAACGACGGCTAGTACCATGCTTGCCAACATGGAATATCCTAGGAGCCTTTTCGGGGGGCTTGGAGGCCTTGTTTTTGCATTTTCCAGCACAGCGTGTCCCGTAGGCAAGTGGTCTTGGACTTGCGTTGCTTCCACTAGACCCTCATGATTATTCTGATCAGGAGTCGCAGATGATGTCCGTGTTGGCGGCGCTGTTGGACGAGAGAAATGATACGCGCCAATGGGTCGGACTCCCACAATATTATAAGCTCCCGGAGAAACTTCTGCTGGCAGTGTTGGTGGGGGTGATCGTGCTCTTGTTTCTAGTGGCATGGGTTGAGGCAAGGGGATAATATCCTTCAAGGATTGGTAACTATGGACGGGACGTCTCTTGTCCAAATCTCGGGTGTTTCTGGTCATCATTTCCGCTGGTGACAGCTGCAAATCTTGACGAAGAGCGGCATTCTTGCTCATCATTCTTAGTTCTGGGTGGCTTCTCTCGACTCCGGAAACGATAGCTAATGATGGGAGATCATCAGATTCTGATAATGGCATGGGCTGTGGTAAGGGCGTAACATCTTTCAAGGATTGATATTGTTGTACCGGTACACTTTGACGTCCTTCCTCTTGCTGCCGTTCATTTGACAACATGGCAGCTGTTATTTGCAAATCCTTCGAAAGTGCTAGAGGCTTGCTCATCCTGCTTACTTCGTGTGCACGAGCGACAGCCGCTGCAATCTCATCGACGTCCACCTCTCCCACCATCTTTGCTTCGTCGCTTCTCTCAAATTCCTTATCCGACGATCTCTCTCCTTCAACTTGCTCTACAGGAGAACTCTTCATGGTGGGCCGGAGGAGGACTTGCTTGGTTACAGGTAGGTTCAGGGCAAAACTACAGAATGAGCCCGTGAGGTTGGCAGCGTTGTTGTTTTTATTGTTGGCGTGTGGCGGATGCGGCGTTGTTGTCAGTTGCCGAAGCGTGCTACCGGTATTGCGCTGTGAAAACTAGGAGCTTCGCGTGGGAGGCCGAGCTGTGCATGCTAGAAATGGCCCAACAGGGAGAATTCTCACTGTTACTTTCGGCCAAAAGCTCTTGGAGAACACAGTCAACTCGCTCTAATATTACTTGGGGGGGATTTCGGACTTCGGGTAATATAATAGAGAGAAGTAATATTAGGCTTTTCAAGGGCCGGTTCCACTAGTAAAGTACGAATGGATAGAGCCGTCACGTTTACGCTTGCCCGCCCTAGCAGCCCTAGCCACATTCAATGCCCTGGCAAACCTGTCAAGATGCACAGTGGCCGCCTGGTTGATACCCAAAGCAGAGGCACTCTTGGAGAGCTTGTTGAGTGCTTCTTCAGCTTCGGCAAATGAGGCAAAGACATCGGCAGGTTCCGGATCAATCTCCACTGGTTCCGGTTCCTCGTCATCAAGCACAGCCAGTTCGGCTTCTGTTGCTTCAACTTCGAGCTCTTCAATCTCTTCGTCGATGGTTGCGCTAATGACTTCGGGCTCGTACTGACGTCATTCGTCATTCACGGATATGCGGGACTGGGGGGGGGGATCCGAAGAATCAGGTAATATAACAGCGAGAAGTAATATTAAATAAGTAATATTAGCGCGAGTAGACTGAATTGAGTCCAGTCCCTCCAGCCTTCAGCGAACCAGCATGAAAAAAGAAACGGTTGGATGCTAGGGTTATCAACAAGCATTCTCCCTGTTGGGCCCATTCTCCCTGTTGGGCTGTTCCTAGCATGGTGCGTGGCACGTGGAATGTGGGTTCCTTGCTCTTTGATGATCCCATTCTGAAACTAGGAGTTAAAGAAAAAGACATTGGACTCGGGACATTAGGAAACACCCAGAAACGAGGTATTAAATGAAGCATGCTTAATTAAAGCATAGTCCGCCCCAAGTGATTACGAAGCGTCTTGCTGGTACTGTACAGTCGTACACTACCGTCGGACCTCCGTGCGTCGTGCGTTAACGACTGCGTCAGCTGTGCGTACTACGGTATATATATTGTGGTTACTGGAACTGTAGTAGGTACAGTACCAGGTACGGTTGGTACCGGCGCGTAATAAAAAGTTGTACCGGTACCGGTACCGGGTATCATCCATCTTCAGTCTCCATGGACAATCATGCCGCCACCACATCTCCCTTACTATCATGTTTCCATGGAAACGTTGCCCATGGTGGTCGGCTGGTATACTCTGGTTGCTACAATGGCCTTGTCCTTCGTATTTGTTGGAGCTGCTCCAGCAGAATTTGGTACCAGTAGTGACCTGGCTTGGGTCTTCCACAGCCTGTGGTGTTGGGTACATTCTTATTCACTTTTTGACACACACAAAGCTGCCATTGAAGGGTTGGCTACAAGATGCTTGAGCAGCTCTTGAGCTCATCATATCCAGCATCATCTGGAACCAATAACGAACACGCACAGGGTAAAAGGAAGTTTGGGCGTGTCATGAAAACAGACTTACAGTAGGCCTGGGACAAACACTGGTCGCCACATTCATTGTTTAATGTACCGGTATGGTACATACCAACCTTGCTACTCTGCTTTTCATACCCCTAGGAGAACAGAGGAAAGAGCAGTGTATCATTGCCGGAGGCGAAATTTCTTTCTTTTAGTACCTGTTTTTAAGGCATTTTGTTGTAGAAAAGTGTCATTGTATCATCTCTCAATCTCTTATATGTGCCCAAGGGAGAGTGCTTACTGGCTATCTTAGCTCTAGTGCAGATTGGAGTGTCTCAAGTATCTTAACATTTTTGCAAATCTCAGTACTCGACATCTTATCTCCAACTCTCTTTAATGTCGAGCACCGAGTGTACAAAGGGTAGATCCTTTGGAAGCACACCTGATCAGTGTGCGCCGGGCGAAACAAAACCGTTAACGGGATTGATTCAAATCCAATGCGTCCACGAGAGAAAAAGAGCACACCGCTCGTCATTGCATTCGCTTCACACACAACAAACAAATCTATACACCATGACGAACAAGAAGAAGCAAATCCGAAAGGGCACCAAGAAGCCAGCTGCCAAGGACAATGGCGCTGCTGCTGTGGAATCGGGACCCTCCTTGCCGCCTCCATCAGCGAACGGGAAGAATTTCACCAACCCGCAGTTGACCTGTCTCATCATTGTGGTGGTCGGTGCTTCCAAACTGTGGGAGTTTCGATCGGCTCTTTTTGAACTCAGTGATCTTTCTGCGGTGGACGCGTCTTCTGCCAATTCCACTGATGCGAGTATTAGTAGTAACAACAGCACTCTGTGTGACTACTACATGTCGACCAAAGATGATGGAACGGATCACACTGCGGTCTGCCGTGCTTCCGAAACTCTTACCATGATGACACTTCGGTACCACTCCGCGTTCCAGTTGCTGGCTCTGGTGGTGTACACCATGCTCAAGTGCTGGTACCGGGATGATTTGTTGCATCGTTTGAATGGATTTTTGGCCATGGCTCCCATTTCCACCACACTCATCCTGTTGCAGGCATCTTCGCAGTATGTGACGCGACGTCCCTCCTTGATTTTGACCTGTATTTGTGGCGTGCTCATGTTCCTGGCGACTCCGGGAGCCTCCTGGACAGTGCGAGAAGTCGTGACTTTTGGAACCAAGTTGATGCCCAAACCCAATCGCCGTACCAGTATTCAATCCATCTGTCTTGCTAGCATGATTTGTTGGAATCTCTTTGAAGCACTCCAGTGGTTTTTGACCAATGACAAGAACAGTCCCATTTTGGCAATGCCTATTCAATGGCACAGTGCCTGGAGTGTCTTTTTGTACACTCTCATGATGGACAAGTTGACAATCAGCTGGATCCTCACATTTGTGTGGTTGTGTTTTGAAGAAAACCGCCAACGCACGATCTTGTTGGCGTTTGCCATTCTAAAGGTAGTGGAATGCACCGCACACATGTCCCAATACGACCAAGCAGACTTTGTCACGGATTTGGGTGCCATGAGGACAACATGTGTCACCTGTGCCGTTTTTTGCGGAATTGCCTGGATCACACCCAATCTGCATCTTCCCGATTATGTACCACAAGACGACGACGATGAATGTCCCACGCTGATGGAATTGCCTGATGATGCTGCAGGCAGCCAGAAGAATATCAAGGTGGAATAAAAATTGAAAGGAGCGTATGAAAAAAGTCAAAGTCATTGGGTACTGTATAGAGGTTGAGTGAGTTCGAGGGCGATCTCTTAAAATTAATGCTATAAGCCATTCACTCTTCAAAAGTTGGATGATTCGCTTCGCCCAAAAGCAGAGCCCACTTATAGTTGATCCATTCTGACATGCCTGTAGCCAACATATGTGTCTGCAGTAGCTAGCCCGAGACAATCTCTCCTCCCTAGTTCCTTTTGAGAACAAATGGCGCGTTCTTCTCGTCACGACCGTTTGGGGAACATCAGTGAAGCTCTTCCAACGAACACTCCGACTAGAAAGGATGCTCCCACGGCAGCCACAGCACCAAGTCCGAAGTGCCATCGTTTGTGCTGCATAGCTTCATCTGTCTTGGTTGAGCTCTTGGTCACGGCTGTTGTGGACAGTAACAATCCCACTTCTTGCCGTAACTTTTCACATCCAGCATCAATGATTGGAGCCGTCAATATTTCCATGGAGAGCTCTCCCTCTCGCTCCAACCACAAGATTCGTTTCCCACTATCCAGAACATTCTGAAAGGTATGAAATGGTTCACCTTCCAAGTTGGTCACATTGGTGCCAGTGGCCTTCAGATGATCAAAACACGCTTCCAGATCATCCGTCTTGAAACAGAGCCGATAAATGGCACCGTGTCCGTATTTGTTGAGAATATCTACATGGGCACCCTTTTTGCCCTCGACTACCATGAATATCAGTGCTCCCGTGTACTGGTCAAAGACAAAAACAAACTCCGACCAAGTAGGGTCGTTGGGGCCGCCCCAAGTTTGGACGTTGGATGGCACCATCCCCAGGCGAGGACACCATTTCTGGATGAAGTCCTGTAGATCGTCTACAATAATATCCACATGACTAAAGCGCAAGTCGGATTGCCAATCGGTGATGGAGGGAGTTGCCATGCCGCGACGAGGATGCCGTGACAATGACAAGCGCGGTCTCACGAATCGAAAGCTCTGGATCAACAACGTTTGCCAACACAAAAGCGTCAAAGACAGAGATACAGCGATCTTGTTAATCATTGATGCTGTAGCTACCTATACCCTCCGCACTCCTTCGTCGCTCTGGAACGGTCCCAACAAGTATCCTGGTGGTCGACAGCGGTCCTCCTGGATCCTAACTGGAAACACAAAATTGTGAGCACAATTCGTCGAGTCACGCCAAAGTCTTACTGTAAATTTTGGTGTACAAGTGTTTTCTGTGGGAGACGAGCCATTAATCCACAGCATCTGGATCTTTTGTAAGTATTCTGTGGCTATTGAAGAAAAGATCTGTCACAAGTCACAAGAAGGGTCTTTCAATCTTTAGAGCAAGTAAGCTTGTTGAACACTCCCCATCATGCAGAACCAAGCATTTTGTATCAATTTTAAACGTTATCAGATCAAGGAGAGCGCTTCGAAACGTGGCTCAGGCAACCACCCAGTCTGGGATATCGATGCCATCTCATGAATGGTACAGCAATGGCACAGTCGTACCGGCACCATGCAGCACAGGCAGGCGGGAAACCCGACAAAGGATACAAGGATACCCCAGCAAATGCGAAACCTTTGCTTCTTTCTTTCGATCATATCACAATAAAAGAGGAGCCTCGACGACGACAGAGCAAGTAGCCGAAAGTGGGAAATACTGAATGAACGAACGACAACATGGAGAGCTCCACCTACCGTCCCGTGTCCTTCCAGAAACAAGTCGGGAAATTGGAAGTCGCACCTCTTGGGTTGACTTTTCGCGGCGACAATGGCGCCAAGGAGGAATGGATGTACATGGAATTGAAGAAGGTCTCGGCCAACAAGCAGCAACCCAAGGCCGATGATGCGCCCAAGACCAAGCCCAAACTCAAGATCTCCCTGGTTGGAGATCCCAATGGAGCCATTATCTTTATCTTTCGAGATCGGGTTACCCTCGACAAGGTGCGAGCAGATTTGAAGGTACGCATGCGCGGTGACGTTGAGGCCAGCAACCATGCCTCGGCCACTGACTTTGCCTCGGAAGAATGGATGGATCCCTCGTCTTCAAGGCCAGAAGAATGGATGAACCCTGCTCCGTTCAGACAATCAAGGGAACCGCAACCGTTCAATCTTCCCAGTAGCTTCAACAGCAGCAACCCGGCCAACGAGGGCACGCTCGTCCAGGAAGAAACCCTCGTCAAGGAGGAAGGGACGCTGGTCAAGGAAGAAACCATTGTGGATACCACGACCGAGTCACCAGCTCTGAGGAATTCGGCGGCTAACAACTGGACCATCCCAGAAGACAAAGTCGCCGTTCACAAGCTGGAAGTCAAGGCGCTGCAGCCACCGCAACAAGGCTCCACCCCAGAAGTGGTGAAACCGGGAGAGCAAAAGACGGAGAAAGACAAAGACGACGACTCGCAAGAGGAAGAATTCAGCTGGGCTCGCTGGATGAAGGATACCTTCATGGCCATGATCCGGGATCATGTTCTCTTTGGCATCTGTGCTTGGGACAAGACTGACACGGCCTACACACGCAGTGAACGCATCTTCACGTTCATTGGATTCTTGGGAACCGAAGCGGCCGTTGTCTCTGCTATCAACTTTTCTAACGCCCTCAATTTCGCCATTTGCAAATGCATCGAAGGAGACGACGCCTACCCTGAAAGCGACTGCCACAATTACGGATTCACTACCTATTCCAAACCCCAAACGGAAACATTGAGAACCGAATGGTTTGCTTATCTCGATACGTCCACGCAAGATATCCGAAGAGGAAACAAATTGTTCTGTCCCACCGATTCCACTAAAGAATGCGGCTTGGAAAAGGCGTGCTGTACGGCTTTTGTGGGCGAGCGCACCCAAACAGTGCTGACCCTGGACAGCATCGATCCCTGCCCGACCCACTGGCTCTTGCAAAACATGATTGAGAGTTTGGTCGCCTATATCTTTTCTCTAATCTTCCTGGCTCCCTTGGTCGAATGGCTTCTGAGGAAGGAGAGCCGAACGCTCAACCCCGTCGCCTACGGATTGATCTCGTTTCAAGTCATCCTGGGGATTGCCATGGTGTCTGTATGGGCCGACACCACTTGGCAGCTCGAGTTGGAAGGGTTGGCTTTTGTCACGATAGCCGCCGCCATTGCTTGGACGCTCTTCTTTCATTCCATTTACTTTGGTTTGTTTTGGGAAGGCGTGGTGGTTCCGGCGTGGGCCCGTCGTGCCGCCAAGAAGGCACAGGACGAAAAGGAACGGGCCGACAAATACGGGTATACGAATGGCGCGGTACCCGTGGACTCGACACAGGCATTCTCGACGGAAACCTTCAGTGGTCGCGATTCCGCCACGGCGAACGATGCGGCCTTTGTCATGCACGGACACAGCCCGGTCATGGCGACTCCCGCCACACCAGTCATGTACACGCAACAACCTCCGCCGCAACAGTATGCCCCGCAACAACAGTATGTGCCCCAGCAGCAGTACGTTCCACAGCAGCCACAGTATGTCCCGCAACAACAGTACGTGCCTCAACAGTACGCACCTCAGCCGCCACAGTATGGCCAGTATAACGGCGGACACGAGGACGATGGCTCCGTGATGGAGGCTTAAGCCGTCTCGGCAAAGAGGCCCGCTGCGCTTCTCCGCAGCTCCACCAAATTGGAGGACATACATAATTACATAACCATCTTCGTTTTGCATGCTTGGCCGTCCCCGCCTTTTCCTGCTGCCAGGTGCGGAAATGCGCCCCGTCGATAGCGGAGGTGCTGGTACCAGGTACATGTACCGGTACACAAACAAACAGAGGACCAACCCAAAGACGAACGGAGGCGGTGCCCTTCATCGCACGAAATCAAGTTTACAATGCTGCGGTAGGTCGCCTTCGAAAGAGTTTTAACATAGTTTCCGTTGTTAAATCTTTTTCGTCTCTCCAACTTCCTGGCCTCCACACAATTGCTTGCTTCGATCTTTTCTCTTGTCCAATGTCCAATTGTCCAAGCAGCGCATGTTCGTTGTCTCTGTCCTACTAGTAGTTCTAACGATTGTGGCCTCTGCGTGTGCTGGAATGCAAAATGCTGCGTCTCTCTGTCAGCTCAGGAGAGCGAATCTTGCCATTTCGTGGTGCAGTACCAGTATCGGTCCTTTTGCTGCTAGTGCTGCTGGCCCGATGTGACAGATTGGCTGACGCCTATGTTGTCGTGACCCCTTCAACTCCAACACGAGGAGGAACACTCTCCTGGGAAAGCATTGCAGAACAAGTCAGCAGAACCTCTGTAGTATCAATACGCGGTCAGAGACGCAGATCAATTCAAGTCCATACCTCGAGAGTGCCAACCACCATCCATCTCAGCGAGGGTCTTCAACAAGATGAGGAGAAGACAAGCAGCAGCAGTCCTTTAACCACAAAGCTCGATCAGATCCTTTCGAGATTGACTTCATGGTTTCCTTTTTGGGTTCTCTCCTTTGCTTTGACTGGATTGTCCAAGCCAACATTGCTTCAGTGGGTCAATCAGGGACAATTGATATCCCTCATGTTGGCAAGCGTCATGGTGGGGACTGGATTGACGCTGGAAAAGAAAGACTTTACCGATATTTTGACAGTGCCGAGCAACGTTGTTTCGGTTCCCTTGGGCGTCGCTTGCCAGTTCCTTATAATGCCCCTTACGGCCAGTCTACTGGGACGAACCATCTTGCTGGCAAGTGCTGGAAGTGGTACTGGCGTTACCCTTGCCACTGCCAAATCGCTCTTTTTGGGCCTCATCTTGGTGGGATGCAGTCCGGGAGGTACTGCTTCCAATCTGGTTTCCTTGATTGCTCGGGCCGATGTCGCTCTCAGTGTCATTCTGACTGCCTGTTCTACCATCTTGGCATCGGTGGCTACACCTCTCTTGGTGAAAACTCTGGTGGGCAGCACGGTGGCCGTGTCGGGAAAAGCCTTGGTGGTGGCCACGGCACGTGTGGTCCTGTTGCCAGTGTTGCTGGGTATGGTGATCCAGTCACGAGCTCCAAAACTATCGCAACAAGTGAGTCGATTCACACCCTTTGGATCCGTCCTATTGATTGCGTTCATCTGTGGAGGGGTCGTCTCGGAGAATGCCGCACTCCTGTTGAGTTCTCGCACACTCTTGCCGCGACTCTTGGCGGCAGTGGGAGGCCTGCACACGGTGGGATTTGCCATGGGCTACTTGATTCCAAGACGAGTCTTTCAAAGGGGAGAAACCACTTCACGGACCATCTCTATTGAAACAGGGATGCAGAATTCGGCGCTGGCAGTTGTGTTGGCCCGTTCGATGGGAGCACCGGCATTGGCTAGTTTGCCCGGAGCTCTCAGTGCCACAATGCACTCCTGTCTGGGTAGCTTGTTGGCAGCCTATTGGTTGATGCAGCCGCCTCCCGTGTCTGAAGAAGACACCAATTTGGATTGACGGTACTAGCTAGAGAAATATTCATTATACGGTAGCTCAGCTAGCTACTGGCTAGCCAGAGCCACAATGAGGCTTACTTACTAGATGGCCACAGCATCACCCTGCAGATAGTAGTAGTCACGTACCGGTAACCGGTAGCCATGAAGGTTCTCTCGAGCTCTCAGGATGAAGGTCGCTCCTTGTAGCTGGCTTTTGCTCGTGTAGTCTGTTCATTGTTCCTCTTGAAGATCATTCTCTGTCTCTAGCTTACTAGCTAGCAAAGGCGGCAGCAGTTATTTCCCTGCCGACACGGACCGCGTCTTATCGAAATACCAGTTTTGCCAACCGTAGTTTTGTAGCTCCAACTAGCAGTAGTGGATACCGGTAGCTTGCTTGGCTGTAAGCTTGCCACAGGAGTGGTGAGAACCCATGAGAACTATTCTCAAAATCTTGCTGGTTCATTGCTGTGTGAGAAGTCCGACCTGGTTGGACCGCTACTCGAGGTGGCTACGTTGCTACTGTAGTATCTTGTTACCTATCTAGCTAGCTAGTAGTGTTTGCGGAGAGGCGGGCAATCGCCTGAGCCATTAAGGTAGCTTTCAACGTGTACAGGTATTTAAGCGGCTTGCCATACCTTAGCGATACTCATGGTCCCTAAAATGAACAGAACTATGAACTTTTACATTGGTGCTATGTAACGGGGTGTCTTGGCAGAATAGACGGACCACACTAAACTGCCTTGGGCTCCAGCAGTAGATTGTAGCCACTGTTAGTCGTTGGTTGTCAACTATTGTCCCTTGCTGCCGCTGTAGCAAAAAATACTGTAGACCAGTGGTCTATGAATCCTCAGAGGTACCATCCTCAGTTCCTTCGCACAGCGTATCACTGGATCCGGGTGAAGAGGCCATGGCAGATTGCTGTTGGAACCACTGTTCCTTTTTTGCTCTCATCTGAGCCTTCTCTAACCGCCTCTCCTGCTCCTTATTCTCTAGATAACTTGTATACCAGGCGCTGACCCAAGCGATACTCCAAAAGATGACAGTCGTCAAGGTAGCCGTCTTGATGGTGGGGATATCCCACCACTTTTCACGCTGATATCTTGCTAGCACTTCTGGGAGTAGGTAAAAGTACTCGGCAAAGTTGAGGAGCACCAAGAAGAAGAGAAATATCCGTTGGTGTGATGCGTCCAGCGAGAACTGCCATACAAACGCCAAGAGTAGGATCGTCATGATACCACTGTCATGCATCAGTGCGTAGATCCCAATCGCCAGGAGCCCTGACCCAAAGCCATGGTCTTGTGCAACAGAATCCTTTTTGGGTTCCTCCACAGCCTCCCCTTCGGGTGCCTCTATCGGTGCTGGTGGTTGCTCCTCACTTTTTGGTTCCTTGTTGCGTGTCAACTGTGGCCCCGTTGCAGCAAGTGCATGTATTGGATTCGTCATGGTCTTTCTGCTTATATATATATATCTGAGTACAGTAGGTGCAATTGAGTTGGTGAGTATCGTACTGTAGCCGTGTGGAGAATGTGGCTTCACTGCGCTGCCGTCATTGTCGTCCCTTTGAAAACCACGCGGTGGCTATGTGGTCGCGATCGGCGGGGTGGTGCAGGCGGCTTTGCTAGTTCTCAGACAATCAAAAAGCAGGCCCGCACGCCTGCCAGATTGAGAAGATTTAGTGTATTTAGGGATCCTCAATGTGTCTCGGAGCGATGACGAGCACGGTTTCAGTTGGGCAGGAGCAGGGGTAAATGGCTTCAAATGCCCCACCTCCTTGCATTTAGTAAATTAGCCAGCATAGCTGTTTTAAATCAAGGGTTTGTCTGGCTCTGGAAATCAAGATACTTTACCATTGTGTACCCATCGGTTGCACCACCTCCGGAAACTCCTGATGCTTGGCTTGGCTAGGAGGTTAGTTTTCAAAGGGTAGGGACTTGTGCTCCCACCTGGGATCTTTCCATATAATCATGTTCTTGCTCGGTTTGTGCCTGTGAGACAACGGGACGGTATGCTTCCTTTCCTAGAGTTGCTGATCCGGCCGGTGTATTTCATTGCAAAGTACTGAAGCAGTCTTCCCTCTGCAAACACCTGATCTGCACCAGTTGTCGTGAAGGCTTTCTATTGACTGCTTGGGTTGTCTTGACTTGAGGTGCTCCGAGAAACATGGGTTATATTGCTGATCCTCAATTCGAAGCCTCTTAAAGCCGTGTGTGGGCGTTGGTTACTTCTAAAGAAGAAGTGGTGCCTTCAGCGAATTTCGGTTCCAGAATTGAGGATGAGGCAGGGATGATGTTTCCTTGAAGACTTTCAGGATTGAATCATTCATCCTGCGCAGTCAGTTCCAGGTTGCGTGTACCGGAGCTGTTCGTTGTATTTATTTTTTAAGTTGTCTTCTCCGATCTCGCCTTTGACTTCCTGTCGTTGATTTGTACAAGACTTCTTTCTACAGTATTCTTTTACACAACAGAGTTGCGCCTCCATAGTTGCGGGCTGCCGTACTCGTACCCTTGTATCATCACACTGCAGGGAGAAACGTACTTTTAGTTCGTACATCGTATGGTAGACGAGCAGAAAGGTGTAATTTTGGGGTCTAAAATACAATGAAACTTACTAAGATAGCTCTTGCTAGCTAGCAAATAGTTTCGACTACTGTTCTGGGTTCTGCGGCTAGCTAAACAGCTCTTCTTGGCAGCGTCAGGCAGACCGGTTTTTTGCTTTCGTGTTGGTGGAAAATGGTACAAAATGAAACAAGCAGGACTCGACTCGCAAAAACCCATCATCTATCTGCGGTGCGGTTCGTTGTTGTTTTCTGCTTGCTGCTGCTCTGGAATCAAAGAATCGTTGTCCTCCGGGGATTCCGCCGAGCTGTCGTCCTCTCCCGGAAGGCCAAGTTTCTCGTCAGCGTCTTGGTCTTGCGCCGCCATCGGCCATTGCGCAGTCAACCATGCCACAGTCCAAAAGACGACCAACATTCCGAGGACTTTCGGGATTTTAGGCACATCCCACCAGGGTTCCGTCTGATACCGCTGCAAGTCGTCAGCGAGAAAATAGAAGTATTCCGCCAACTTGAAAAAAAACACCAGAAACAAGAAGGTCCTTTGTTGCTCTCGTTCCAAATAGCATAACCACCAAAGCAAAGCCATGAAGAGCACCGAAGGACTCAATTTGATTTCATGCCGCTTGTCCGAGACGGCTTGTACAACACCATCCATGATGATGATGGCAGTGTCTGAGTGAGGTCTGATGAGGAAAACGGAAGTCGTCGAGTGTGTTGCTGTTTCGTCTTTTGCTGTCTGTTGCGTCCCTTCTTTTGTTGATGCTTTTGCTTGGGTTGAAAAGCCTCCTGAGAACGGACAAAGGAAAGACCGATTTACACCAACCACGACTCCCACACTTCTTCGAGTGACCAAATCGTCGACGCGTCATCGGTACGAGTACCAGTGCGACCCATTGGCATGATCGGTACCGATGGAACTGGTACCGGTACCGCTTCCTTGTTAAACTATCGGTAGCTAACTTGCTACTAGCTAGCTAGTACTCTAAATCAAACCTTGTTCGAGACGGATCCTGCATTATAATTATTAATTTATGCAATCGGTACCGTCACTGCTAGCTAGCTACATGTAGTAGATCGACTACCGAAGTGGATTGACTGGCTAGCTAGATAGAATCAATTCAGTCACTATGTTTGCATGATGCGATCAAATGTATTTGGCCCCATATTCAAGTTGGTTCCTGGTTCCAAATGGTGCTTGATGTGGTTCGCCCGTGCTTCCTGTAGCCAACCTTTCATAGGCAGTTTTGTGTGTGTCAAGAAGTGCAGGACCATGTACATGAGCCCACATGTAGTATAGGATCCAAGCGAGGTCATGGCAAGATCAGCAGGGGCTCCAATGGACACTGCTGCCAAGGCTGCAGAAGCAACTGCTGAATACCAGCCAACCACCATGGGTAGTGTTTCTACTGACACATGGTAATAGGGAAGGTTGTGATGCTTATCATGGTTCTCAAATGGCCACATAGCCTTTCGTTCCTTGCCATGGAAGAAGTGTGCATGAACAATCCATTCTTGAAGCTCCCAGAAAACCTTGGTCGCCACCATAGCAATCAAGTCTGCCACTCCTAGTGGCCCTAATACCAAACGCACACCCAGTGTCACTGCAAGAGCCACAAGTGTGAATTGCATAGACGGGGTGGCAATGAGGGATTCCAATGCCTCCTCCATTGTTTCTGGGACTTGGAACGCAACTTGAGTTTCTGCCTGGAGCTGATGTGCCAGTGGTTCATGATCATGCTGCAGTTCCTTCAGGTTGAAGAAAACTCTCTTCTTTTCCTTCAAGTGGTTCTCTGTGACCTGCTCTAGTTGACTCCAAAGATCATCCTTGTCGTTACTCCCAACTGCAGCAATTTCATCGCAAAGAACGTGGGCAAAGAGCGGTCGCATCTTCGACGTGGCTGATCCTTCGGCTGGGACAACAATCCGTGGCTTCAAAGCGTTGAAATGAAATGCGTCGGCGCCACCGGTCACGATGAAGAGAAGAAGAGATCCAGCAAATTTGCTCATGGTAATATCGTGCTGTTTGTTTGTGGTGGATTGGAATTTGTGATAAGATCCCACCGCCACAGCCACCTGTAACGAAAGATGTGGAAATGGTTTATCTTTTTCGCACCGTGCACAGCCACTAAAAGCGACTCTTCGTCGCTTTAGCCTGCCCTGGCCTCGCTGGCTTCCGTAGTCTATCGGTGCGGAAGCTTTGTTTTTTAAAGGAGATGTGAGACTGGTTTGCCTTACGAGACGCTGCACAGCCAGCAGTCGGCCTTCATCAAAACACACCAGTCCCAGCGCATGACCCGATGGGAGACTTCTTGCAATCTGACGACGATTTTTGGAGCACACGGAGCACAATAGAGCCTGTGATTCTAGCAAATCTGTTCGTCGGAATGATTCAATCACTCTTACGGCTTCAATGCTGGGTATGGTACGATGTACCTGACGGTTCTGCGGCTTCAAAAGCAAATTGCCGGAGATACTATGAATAGTTCCACAAATTTCCAATCCGCAAGAACAACACCAAAGCTCACGATGCAGCGTAGCGATTCCATCTGGTTCCCCGTTTTCAAGAGGTCGGTGCCATGCCTGAACTTAAAATCAAGTGGCTGTGTTTGAATGAGAAAAGGCTGCTTCCACCCTGCAACTGTACCGGTACCAGGTAGAGCTTCAGGTCCTTCAATTCATCTGCTCCAACGGTGAAGTGATAGCTTTTGGAAAGACTCAAGGACACAGGGACGTATGTTTATGTTCCAGGGAGTTCCGAGCAATCAAAAGAGGGAAATACTACAGTTTACAGCGAACAGATCATACTAACAGCCTAACTAAACATACTAGCCTCTTCTTGTGCAGTGGCGTAGAATAGAACGCCTTCTGTTGTTGGGATCCTCTGTTGAATATGATGCCCTGCTGTTCCATGTGGGCGGCCTTGATGTATCAACTACGCCCATACACCGCTGGTATTATCGGCTTCGACGACGTGGGTATCCATGGGCTCCACTACAATTTCTTGTTCCGCTTCGGTCTTCGCATCTGCGTCCGCCTCCTTCTCGACCTCCACAGAGGTTGCTGCCGTTGCTATTTCTGTCACGGCTGCCGATTCTGCTGTCACGGTTGCTGATACTTCTGCGGTAACCGTTTCTGTGGCTGGTGCCGTGCTACGTTCGTTGAGGATTTGCTGCTTCACAGCATCAAGACGTTTTTGTAACTGACAAGCGTTGTCATATTGTTTGACTGAAACTGCTGTTTGGAGTGAGTCTTCCAACTCTTTTTCCTCAAAAAGCAAGTCTTGCAGTGTGGGAAAGCTTTGGCAAAGACACTCAAGCTCTTCAATAGTCTCACGTGTGTCCCGAGCCAAAAGCCATTTGTTGCCTTTCAACTCCTGACATTCCTGCATCTCGAGCTCACTGATCTTCGCATCCAAATCCGATCGGGACTCAACGTCAACAAAGGGTCTCTGAGCGGCCCGCAACAGTTCAGAAAGTTCATCATCTGGTATATCCAAAGCTGCTTTCCGGATTGCTGTTGGGACACCTGCTCCTAGCCGCTCATAGACTCTCTTTCGGCGCCAAGAGATCAGCTTACCTCTGCACGAATCATGGTCTTCAGAAGATGCCAAGGCTGTCGTCAAAGAAGTAATGATCTGTGGTGCCGTGATAGATGCAGATCGCGATAAACGAGCAAAGAGCAAAATGGTGGCATCGAAGTCCAATGCCTCGACGTTGATGACAGCCGAGTCCAAGCCGCTAATAAGAGGGATTCCCACAGTAATCAATTTGGCATTGGAGACCTTGAGCAACTGGCGGATGAATGCATCCAGAGACTGCATGGAAAATCTGGCACAGAGGCAATCACGATGGATCACAATCAAGGGCCTTTTGTCATGAAGTTGGTGAAGCGTCCTGCTCCAGCATTCCGCGTAAGCTTGTTCGCGTTGGCAAGGTGCTCTTGAAGCCTTCGAAATCAACTCAAATATCTTGGACAGGTCAGAGTAAAGTTGATCATCGCTTGGAGCGGAGCCCTCTTGAACAGGTAGCCAGACCGTTTCGTCGAAGAGAAATGACTTGTGCCGTTGCTCAATGTAACGGGTTGTCGCGGCAACCAAACTGGATTTTCCAATCTCGGGGGGTCCCTGAACGTGAATGATATCGTTCGACCTTAGAGCCTCCAATATGGTGTACATATCCATCTCTCGTCCAATGAAGAATTGAGGCGTACGAGGAATGATTCGTTTCTTGCGCTTCCAGCCTGGCTCATGCATCGCAGTGCTTTCGTCGCTTCTCGCTGTGGGGTGCGTGAAAATGTGGACATCATGATAAGGGTCACCAGACGGCAGTTGAGGAAGAAGGATGAATTTTTCATATTCAGCCTTTGAATCCTTAACCATGGGTGATACTCGCATTGCCTCTCTCGCCATGTTGAATGCCTGCTTAACAGTGTTCTTCAACGCAAGGGCACGGTAGAAGCTTCTTGCAAACTCGATTGCCCCCTCATCTCGAAACTTGTCGTCCTGCCGACAACAAATCACATGTCGGATGCCTGCCTTGAGGAATGCCTTACCGGCGGCCTTTGAATGGCAGGCTGAGACGAAGACGACTTCGAGGTTTCCTACACCGGCAGCAATGAACCTCTTCAGATCTCTGACGGGAAGAATCTGCATCCCTCCAAACCCATCTTCGAGAGCCAAGTAATCAGGGTGACCGTGGCAGGATAAATGCATGACACGGCTCTCACTCTTTGCTAAGAATGCACTGAGCCGATCGGTTGTTGCAATGTCGAACTGAACGTCCATCCTGGCCCCAGCAATTTCAGCCTCTTTCAATGACTGTGTCAATGCACGGGCTTCATATTCAAAGTCGAGGAGCGGGCAGACATGGTGGGTGCCTGTTGCTCGATCGACATATGCCAACGGGGCTGATTGAAACACTGTCATGTGCACTTCGGTAACAGATGGCAGTGTTTGGAGATCCAAGGCATTCTCGTTCGAGTCGAATTTCACCGATCTTTCAGCGTCCAGTTCTATCGTTGCGTTCACTACATCAGAATGCGGAGGCACGTCGTCTGGAAACGAAGTGACACTCCTGAAGGGTTCGGCAAGGCAATTGACTCCATTCTGCGGCCAAACGTCGTTCAATCGGGTGGCCAATTCGGTGGACTGTGCGTCATCCTTAGCTTCACACCCATCCCCTTGGGCCTTCGGCGATCGTAGCTCCTCAGCCACTTTTTCTGCTGTGATCTGCCTAGAGAGTCGGCACTTTTCGGTGGCCAAGACATAGCGGCGGTCAAGGTCATCCTCTTCCAAGGCCTCGAGCTTTCTGGTAATTTTCTTCACTTTCTTTTCCAGCTTCTTCCGTGGTCTATAGAACTTTCGGAGAGGAAGGAGACTTCCAAGGCGGCTACGGGAGAGGATCCCTTTCTCAATGATGGTTGGATCATCTGATACCTGAGCAGAGGTGATCGCCTCCTCGCAGTTGTTGATTTCTGCTTCAAGAGACGCGCGGGACTTGATGTCCAAGGCTTCTTGTGAATAGAGATCTAGTCTCGCAAATTGGTTCAGGTCTGTTTCTACCTCGAGCTCTTCCATCCCTCCATCAGCGCACACGTGCGACAGTTCAACCAAACGAGAACCTGATGGGCCAACTACAATCATCCTCTCATTGCCACGCTTCAGCGCAATCTCAGTTGTTGTTTCATCTTCGAGCAAGAAGTCAGGACTTAGCCAATGGCCCTCTGAATCCACGGTCACCGCGACCAACTCAATATCGCCATGATCCAACTGCTTGGACTGCAGACAAAGTGCTTGAAGATCTCCCGACTCTCTAATTTTGATGGATGCTCTCTTGGATTCTTGCGTTGCACCAGGCGCCAAATCCAACGCGTCCAAAGCCGCCCTGTAGTTCCCCTCAGTGGCATACGACACAAAACCGCACCCTGGAAGATTCTCTGTGTGATCGAATGAAATTGCACTGTCGATTTGGCTCAGTATAGATGTGGTGGTACTAACCGAATCAGACGAATCAACTGTGGGGTCGTCACCTTGGGATCTTTCTTTTGGCGTGCTCAGACCCAGTAAGTCTTTGATCGTTTTGTCAAGCTCGTTCATCTGCTCTTCGTTTTGCTTCAAGTCATGCCCGGTCTTTGGAGGTTGCAATTGACTCATTTGTCCATCATGGGAGCTGCAGCCGAATTCAGTGGTGCCGGCGAGATCGGAAACATAAGATTGGTCACATGACTTCTTCCCATCTTCGGAATGGCGACTTTCGGCAAATGACGGAAGTCTGATGCATGGCACTTCTCTGCTCCATTTATGAGATGCATTGAATTGAGACGGCGAAACAGCCTCGGCATCATTCTTGTCGCCCCTAGAACTGTCCATAAGGGGACTCAAAGCCACACTGCCAGCGTGGCCATTTAAACCTCTTGCATTAAGAGACTCATTTCCCAAGAGTTGGAGGACATCCAGGGACAACATGCTAGTATCGTCCTCAGCAACAGGGTCATCCTCTGGATTCTGGGAAGTTGGCTTGATTGGCTGTTCCTGAGGGGCCTGCTTCGCGCCGTCTTTGCTGTCACTGCGGACTGATGAAGAAACCGCGGCGAGCGATGAAGAGTCTCGGCGACTAGTAATGGACTTTCTCTGAATGATGGGCTTTTCTCCCAACGCTTCCTTAGCTTGATCAAGGGTGTAGCACGTTGGTTGAAGGCAGTACCCTTTGTAGACCAGGTATTCTCCAGTGTATTCGTTCTGGATCGTCAATGGCTGCCATTTGTTACGCTTGAACAATTTACCTGCACGTTTATGAGTTGCAAACCGAGCGCACAAGTGGCACAGTCCTTTCCTCCTACTGTATCGCTCCAGATCTTTGCCTGTGAGGACACACCCATCTTTGCAGAGCGATTCGTTGTTTGTCATTCTCGAAAGCTGCTCTTGTAAGCAGTGATCTGCGCAGAAATGTTCTGCCTTTGATGGACAACACTGGTGCTTCGTCGTTTGGATCCCTAATAGCTCCCAACTTCATAGAGGCAAATTTCGATTCATTCCTGACTCCATACGCAAACACAAAATCCATCCCTCAACACTTCAAGACACTTCACTCTTGTGTGAGAGGCAATCAACGGCCAAAATTAGAAGTGCACGCACATACTTGAATTTTCTTGTTGAGCAGAAAGACCTACGAGAAGATCCAGCGAGGTTCGGCAACGGACTTGATCAAAAATGTGTTGGAAAACGCCAGTGTCGTCATTCCCACCCGGCAAGCCTGCCGGTTCATTCACGGTTGGAGCTCGAATGTGCCAAGGTTGCGAGCCCGCTTCAGGAGCTCTTGAGCTACAGTAGCCCAAACATCAACAATGTCCAGCTTTAGTGCCACCAATCTATCAATGCTTGCCAGCCTGTAGTTACAACAGGTTGTAGCTGAGCAGGCATCCTGTTTTGTTTCCTCCAGCAGAGGAAGATGGAAACATCTCAGGGAACGAGCGATGTCTGTAGTTTGCTTCTGCAGCGCCGCGCTGCAAACGCAAAAGTGAGGTTCTTGCATGTTGCACGTTGCATGTTGCACGTTGCATGTTGCATGAGAAGCTCAGATACTAGTAGTACATCTAGCTAGACAGCCGCAATGGAAGTCTCCTTGCGGCTTTCAAACCTTCACTCACGACAACCAAGAGGGCTCTTTCGCCAGTACTAGTACGAAACTGCATCGAGTCCACACTCCAGTTTTGGTATAACGATAGCCTTTTTGGCCCTCCGAGCTCCGAGGATAGTCTTCGTACCTGTGGTACTTCTATGGTTTCTCGGATCGGGGATGCGGTCCTTGGATCCGATCGGATGCGGATATTACCATCCACTTCACACATGGCACAGCTCATGGCACGAAAACAAGAGTGACTAGGTCTAGCTAGATAGCTACTGAGTAGATGTTAAACCCTCCTCCTTCCGACATAACGGTATTGACAGCTTAAAGAACTACTTGGCGACAAGGTTCATCAATCTATCCAGCAATCCAGAACGAAAAATGAGTGCAAGTGCAAACGTGCCATGTAGAAGCTCATGTAGACGAGATAATAATATTGCCCAGGTGCTTTGGATTCTTTTCCGAGCGTCAGATCCTGCCTCCATCGTCTGATCGGCTTAACTGGCCTCGACTCATCATCGATTGTCCTTCCTCAAACTGCGAGCCAGCACACGACGTCGGCTTTGCTATAGCTATGAGTAGCAACTGAGTACTCGAGTACTCTGAATACTAGTACTTCTGAATTCTGGAGTACATGTATGTAGTGGGTCTTAAAAGGAAAGTCGGCGGTATTGGCTGTTGGCTGCAGCTACAGCTGTTGTTGGCATGATCCGCACAGACTACAGTACAACAACATGCTAGCTAGCTAGCTAGCTAGTAGTAGGACTGACCACGGTACCGTATGGTACCAGTCCGCACTCGCACCAGAGTTCCATTCAGAATTCGTCACTGAGTCACTGAAGAGCATCAGAGGAGCACCTTCTTTAAAGAATACCTTCCGAAGAGCAAATGCCTCGTTAATAAATGATGATGCAGTATTCACTTCTCCTTTCTTGGGTCTCACCGTCAAGGTTTCAGTGGTCGAATTTTTGGCTATTTCGCGACAAAATTAATTCTGCGGCCTGCTCACAAAGTACTAGTAGTAAGTAAGTGATGGTGCAGTCAGGAACGAGGGGCATTCGAGAGCACTGCGTGCTGCTGTCGCTACTTCTCTCATTATTTGAGGTTCACTGCGATTATAATGCAAGAGGAAGTGAAAGTACCTGTGGCACCGGAAGCCGCTCCAAAGCTGAACGTCTCTCGTCGCTTGTCCAGCAAGTCCAGCTTCAAAGGAGCCAACAGTCCCATCCCGAGCCTTCGTCACGTTCTTGAGGAGGAGGGAGAAGATGATCTCCACGACGAACATGCCAAGAGCGACGCCCGCAGTGAGTTTGAGTACTCAATGAGAGATAGTCTGAGGTTCCTCAAGAGCATTGAGATCCAGGAAAAGGAGGAATTGGTGAGTTTGCTGTGGGCATCGATTGGCGGGAGCACCGGATTCGACGATGATTCGGTCTTGAGCACTGCTTTGTCCATTGCGTCTGCAGCTGCCGCCGGTTCGACCAGTGGGGCCGAAGACGGCTCAGGTTGTGCCAACAACAACAACAAGTCAGTCTTCCCTCCAGCTGCACTTAACAAGAACCAAGACTCTGGCACTTGTTTTCATCATGGACTTGATAAGGATGAACTCATCCTCATGGTTTCTACCTTGATGAAGCAAGAATCCTTTACGGAGTTGCTCTATGATAAGAAGTCGGCCAAGCGAAGGCCCTCTACAGGCGCTTGCAGTCACTGCACCTATGGAAGCCAAGCTAACAAGAGCCGAGCTTCCAACGTCATGCCATCACTATCGGAATGCAGCAGCATGCCCGAAACTCTCAGCACCGGCAACCCACAAACGACTTACACCGGCGGGTCGTGCACTGCCGCGTCTAGCTTGCCGAAAGACACCACGCCGGTGGCTTGCATCAACAAGAACCAGCTCTTTGCCTTCCGCAAGGAAATGCAACGTAATTGTTCCGACCGAGTTCCTCAACCACCCTCTCGGAGAAGAGCAGCGGAGAGTGTGTCGTTCTTGGAGGAAGAGGACGAGGAAAAAGACAAGTTGCGAAAGAAACTGCAACGAGCCTGTGCCGACCGAGTTCCTCTACGCCCTAGGCGCCGAAGAGCCTCGTATGCAGACTGCGAGCAAGACAACCAAAGCAGGGGCACCAGCACCGCCATTTGGATCAATTCTCCAAGTATCCCACGTACGCCTCGCATACCAGAGATGCGATCTTGTGCCGACAGTCTCCCTCATCAGCCTCCTCTGCGGGCAACGCTTCGTTGCGACGCCGAGCCGCTACACTTTTCGAAAGCCTTTACAGATGACGAAGACGATGTAGACTTTCCCGAGCCAGTAGCTCGTTCCAAAAAGCCAAAGGCGTGTCCCGTTTCGAGATTCTTTGTCCGCCTGTGGAAGCTCTCCAAGAAGGCCGTGTTTGTTGTTGTCAAGCCCAAACCACAAAAACAAAGCGAGTTGCACAGCAAACTACAAGATTCGGTTCCAACCATTGCTTCTCAGACCTGCTATGATGAGTCTTCATCACATCCATTATGCACCTCCTTCGTTCGTGACCAACAATCATTGCGTGGTGTTATCCAACCGCAGGAGAAGAAAAAAGTGGGCAAGCTTGTGTTTGATGACAGTTCCACAGTTGGTGGCAACAGCTGTGCTGCTGGTACCATGGTTTCCTGCTAAGACGAATGATCAGATGATCGATTCGAATCAGCCAATCACAAGATCTTCGCTTCAATTTTTAGGTAAGATTTCCACACAAGCAACTGTAGAAACCTAATGCAGCATTTGGGAGAGTTAGAATCGAATCCTTTATGGACGGTTGGGTGACAACGTGCATCGGAAGAACCCGCGGTAGCCAGCCGCTCCGAGGCACCCACAATCCTTCCCGACCCCAATCCGATGCTGCTGAGCTGCGGCTGCGGGTGCGAAGCTTGGCCGTTGCGCTTGGACAACTTGGTTCTGGTACATGACTCGACTCGACTGAGTCGAGTCATGTCACTCCGCTGGCACCAATGGCAACAACAGTGACAGGTGACATAATTATAATTGTACAGCGAATTTTTATCAATCAATTATCAATTATAATAGCTATCAATTACAGCATACTGAGTAGACTACATGTACAGTATCATATGAGAATGCCATCTCAGGTCCCGACATTTCTGGGACAATTCGGTGTATTCTCGTCGACATCTGGGTCAAACTTCTTACAGATTCCCAGTTTATAGAGTTGAAGTCATGTCTGGTCTTTTTCCAACAACCACCAAAACAATCTCCAGGTGATTTCTGGTTTGCTCATTCAGTTCTGGTGTCATCCAATCACCTAAAGGTCACACAAAACCTCGATACCATCCATATCAACCGCAGCAAACCCAAACCCAGAACCAGAACAATGGACGCAACAGGGGAGACGAATGCCCAGGCAGCTGCATTAGCAGCCGCGGTTGGTTCCATCAACAGTACTGGTAGCGGGAACACTCTTCAACAGTCTCTACAAGTGCAGCAGCCTTCGCTGGTCCAACTTCTCTCTCGAGCCTGTGCCACCGCTGTGCCAGTAGAAGAAGACGGCAACCAGCATGGAGTGAATCTGAACGATATTGTCTCTGAAGCCGCCGAACGAGCTTTGCAGTTTGCCGGGTAGATATGATGATTGGACGCCATTCGCTTAGATATGCTGTCAGAAGTAGCAAGCTCAGTAAAGGACGAGCAAAGCAAGCCCCTGTCGATGAACAACATAGATGTTCATGACTTGCAGCAGTCGGGATATTGGTGCTTGGTGTATTCAATCAGAGACACTAAAGAACGATTATTAAGAAAGGATTGAATCAATACCCAAAACCTTTTCCTCCGTTTTGTCACGTCTGTACCGGTAGCACGGTTTCACATTTCACTGGCGCAAGCGGTACTCTGAGAAAGATCAACTTTGAGGATCGAGCGACTGTGAGGTACTATTGCAGTGGTACCGGTATACAAAATCCCTCCTTTCACCCCCGAATCTCACTTGGCGCATTGAATTTGTTTCCAGAATACCAGTACTTGCATTGAGCTTCTGCCTGCCATCCAGAACCACAGATGCACATCCAAAAGTCCGCCTTTTTACTGATCAGTGGAGAAAATCAACGCAAAGGAAAGCCATTGCAAAATCAATGCATTCCACAGCCCCTCGTTTATCACTGTTTACCACTGCCAAATGTCAGGGGCCTTGGTTTACCACTTTCAGCTACTGCTTCGCACTGTCTTGGTTAGTAGTAGTTATGGTTTAACCCTGATTGATTGGAATGGGATGGAACTGTATTCGCCAGCGCCCCAAAAGCCCTTTTTCATTGTTCAAGAAAAGAACCTCTGTAATGTACCTGGAAGGCACCAGGTTTAACGTTGAACTTGACTTTCAGTTTTCAAAGTCGCGGTAGTCGCGATAGTCGCGAAAGTCGCGCACCAGGACTTAACAGCGACTATTTTACAACGACTATCGCGACTTCCGCGACTTTAACGCGATTTTTTCGTGTTATTTACTAGTACTATTTCGAGACTTTAAAACGACTATTTTACCGCGACTAACGGGACTTTCGCGACTTAAGCGCGACTTTATAGCGACTATAGCGACTACCGCGACTATGAAGTATTTGGCGATGCTTCAACATGGCCGAAACCTGGTGCCTTCCTGGTACCGGTATACACAGCCAGCAGAGATGATGATGCAGAGGTTGTTCCCCGGCAGATACATGGTGAATAGAATAACGCCAGAAGTCTCTCTCTTCATCCAAAAGATCTATGCATACTAGCTAGCTAGCTAGCTAGTACATGTAATCTCATTCTGTCCAAGTGACAAGTGACCAATGAATCATTGAAAAGAGTGCTGAAAACCCTACCTCAATGTCTGTCCTACCGGTATTAATTAAGACTGTCTCAACCACTTCCATTTCGAACGAAGAGGAATCCAACCGCACATGTACATGTACAATGTACAGCAAGCAGCAAGCAACAACCCCACACCAAAGCCGATCAAGAGCTTTGCCAACAACCCCATCAATCGACCAAACCGTACGAACCATGTCGAGCACCGCGGTCAACACCACTCTTGGCAATTCTTGGATGGAGCCTCGTACCCTCCATCCTATTGAGGGGTCATCATTGTTGCAGCTATTAATGAAGGGCAGCGTTGAATCCTCCTCGGGAGAGACATTTCTTCAACCCACCACTGCCTCTGACTCCAATGAGGGACAGATGGATTCAAACGGAAGGTTGCTGCTGATTCTTGCCAACGCAATGCTGATCGTGGAGGATGGAGAGTGTAGTATGACAAGTCCCGTGGAGGGAATGTGGAATGGAGGAAACGGAACCATGGAAACATGAGGATCGGAGAGAGAAGCTTCAAGTGAGACGACAGGATGAAATTGAAATCGAATTGAAGGATGTGAGCGAATGAACGGATTGCTAACTACCGGTAGCTACCGGTAGTCAAATAGGTATCAGCTGTTTGTGGATGCGAGAGCCAAGTGGACGATAGTGAAGCGACGTTGAGGAGGAGGATTGTACCAAATTGAAAATACGTGGTTGATTACGTTGAACAAAATGAAGTGCGTTCGACTATTGGGCAGCCAAGGGAGTCAGGTCTTGACTTTATTGCTTTGATCAATGTAGAGAACAGTCTGCTGCTACCGTGTGAGGTTCTTACATTGCTGATATAATTATTAATTTCTCTGAATCGTTTCAGCGTTTCAGTATCTCGAGTCGCTCCCTATTGCATAGGCTGCAGTGTTGCTTCCCGAAGGTCTTGACAGTACTGACTGGGTTGGTTGCCTTGCCATAGCATGCTCAGTTCGATGCTGTTTCTTTGCATGTCTCGGTTGAGTCGGAATGACGATGGAGGTGCGAAGTTGCGGAATTGATTAGCGAAGAGTCTTGCCTATGAGTCTGATTTGCGTTTCTTGTAGAGGAGACGCATAATGTTGTCAAAGTGTTCGTTTGGTCAGGTTTTGCTGTTTTGCTGGGTTGCCCCAACATATTCCATGCGTGTTTATGCATTTGATGCAGTATATGACCAGTTTGTGTCTGCAGAGGTTGCCGTATCGGCATTGGCCATTTCTTTTCTTCCGTGGCCTGCAGTTACAAGTTTCGTTTTGGAACTCGGTGGAGATGACGTCTTTGGTGAGCTTCCTTGATAGGTCGCCCATTAACATCTCTCTCAGGTTGGTGAATCAATGGTAGGACATAGACGTTCTGATCCATTCGAGGCCGTGGCTCTTCTTGAGGTCGTTGATTATCTTGTGTATATGCTTTGGAGTACCCTAGACAGAAGAATAATGATCAGTTCCAGTTCCTCTTTTGTTGCTTGGCTCCTCTATCTGGTTCGTTTGCTTTGTCTGGTTGTTGCTTGAAGTAGCGTTGTACTTCCTCGTGTAGGGTCGGTATCTGGTTTGGAACTAGTCCAGCTCTGTTCAATGCCTCGAAATGAGTGGGTAGATTTCATTGAGGGTAAGGTTGGCATTCTTGTTGGTGGCGGTTGTGAGTTTGGCGAGTCGTAGGCGTACCCCTGTAGGGATGGCTTTGAGGCATGGGTTTGTTTAGGTGGATCCTCTGTTTAGATAGTTCATGCAGTTGTTGGTTGGGCTGAGTTTGATGCGGACTCCAAACTCTTCCGATACGGTACCCGGTACCGGTACGGTAGAGGATCCAGGGAGATAGCTTGCGGCAGAAGCCGGCAGCAAGGAAGCCAGCATACAGAAACTGGTGGATTGAGACACTTGAGGAGAACTGTACTAGTACGGTATCATCGGAGAAGTTACCGTGAAGAAGCTCGTTTGATCACTGAGAATGATCCATCTTGCATGAGCCGCAGTCTTGTGGCTATCAGGTCCAGCCTACGGACTAATCAATGGTTTGCAAGCAAGCAAGGACAAGCAGAACATTCCTTTTAAAAAAAACTGGTTCCACAATATGGCTCCCACTAGGAGGCGTGAAGCAGATTGTGGCAGATGAGGCTGCAAGAGAAGACCAGTCAAAAAAGGTTGGGCTTTCATGATACTAGTAAGGTTGAACTAGGAAAGAGTTGAAGGAAGATTACTGTATAGCGCTACGGGAACAAAGCTTGTTCGGACCTCTTTCAGTGATAGCCGGGAGAATTGCAAAAATGCTGGCTCCGCCAAACAGATGCCCGCCCGTCACAGTAACTCACATCCCAGCGTAATAAACACCGTTGTCGGTCGACCCTGTCGCGAGGAAAGCTCCAGTTCGACACTACCCCCCGCCAGCAGTACATTGCCTACTGTTGTTTTGGCGCTACCCACATGTAGATCGGGATCGTAGGACCGTTCATTCTTGTCGAGAACCTCCAAGGCAATGACTTGCGAATGACTCTGCAAAGAGTACTCTTTGCTTTCGTTCCACACGGGGTTGCAATTGTTTCGTTGGACGGAGGTTGTCCACAATTCCTTGGAGGAACCAAATCGAATAGTGCAAAAGGCGTCTGGGACATCAATGTTGAAGAGTTCGGCACTGATTTTGAACCCTCGTCCCTTGACGACTGTCAGTCGCAGTCGTCCAATGGAGGGTTCTTCATCGTGGGACGTGCCATTCATGATGCCACTGGTGGTACTACTCTCCAAGCTGCTGTTGGATGGAAGTACTCGAGGCACGGATGCGCCAGGTTGCAGTTTCGCGCCATTTTGTTGTTTGGAAACAGAGCGTTGAACTCCGCTGAGCGACACGCGGTACTCCAGGGAAGCTCCTCCCTTTCCAATCGGTTTGGTTTGGGTCAGAGTGTGATCCTTGGCGGACCTCAATGCATCCAAGTGGACCGTCAAGGACCCCAGCACTTGCTCTGGTGGTGCCACGGTTCTGGATGATTCATTCTTCTTCTTTGTTCCATGATTGGTATCACCAATGACAGTGTTGGAGTGTAGTATCAATTGGAACGTCACCTGGGCGTTGGCTCCGGTAATAGGCATGCCTGCCGTGATGGGGATTTCAAAGGCGGCTTCGTATTTTGGATTCAATGCGTCTGTGTACCCCGGAGAATGCAGCACCACGCTGGTTTGAAATTCTTGATTGCCAAACGACACTTTGACAAATGTTGCGGCATCCTCGGGCTTTGCAATGGGAATATGAAAGGCTCGATGGACAAGGACCACCAAGAGCCCCGCAATCTCGTGGTCATCGGCCATGCCATTAGTATTAGTAGTATTCAAACTGGACAAATCTGTCGTCCATGGAATGAAATCACATTGCATCGTGACAAAGGCATCGGTTCTCTTTTGAGTTTTGACGTGTAAGAGTTCCACTTCTAATCGTCGTTGTTTGCACATTAATATTTCTTGAATCAATGCCGACCCTCGGCCCAAATCATCGTCGGCATCCAACGGTCCCGGATCTTCGTCCCAGGCGTGAAACCGTAGTTTTTGTCCATGGTCATGAAGCAAAAAGTCGCGTGATTCGAGCCATTCGGGGGACAGATTGTCGCGAATGGTTTGCGTTCTCCACACACTACCAGTAGTAGTAGTAGCATTCAGATTGGCTCCAAAGGTAATGTTGAGATACACGTCGGGAATATCATCGGTTGTGAGGAGTTTCTTTTCAATGACAAATCCTCTTCCTCGTACTGCCGTGACTCGTGCCACACCAACGGGAGGTTGGTAAGTATCGAGGTAATTGTTGTTGGATTGCATTTTGTACATCATGCGATTGGGCAAGACGACGCAGAGCAAACTGGAGTCAATGGCATCGCGTACGGCGGCGGTCAAGAGAGGACTTTCAGCGACCGATGCCAAGCCGGTAAATTTGAGCTCTACAATGGGAGGATTGATGAATGCGTATTGAATGGCGGAAATAATGGGAAGTTGGTTGGTGAGTGGTTTGAGCCATAGACTAAAGGGTCCACTGAGTTTCAATTCCTTGACACCCAATTGGATCATGGAATTTTGTTCCGCTTGCAGTTGCAGGTCGCAATGTCCATTCCAGACAATGTCCAGGTCTATTTGAATCATGCCGTCTTGGATCTTGCGCACTTTGAGATTGTCCATGCGAATGGGACTGTGGCCTAGATCCATCTTGGTAAATCGGAGTGTTTTGAAGGGACCTGGAAGATCTTGGAAATACGGTTCTACCGAATCGCGAATGACGGCAGCTCCAGCTACGTTCAAGTAATCCCACATTTCATGGAGCAAGTCGGTCAGGAAGGAAGAGACATGGATGGGGTCTTCACCATCATCGAGGCTGCGTGTCGATTGAAGCAGGACATGAGGATTCTGATTGCGTAGAGCCGATGACTTGGATCGTTGACTCAGCCGATGTGTGGCGCTTTCTTCGTCTTCATCTTCTCTACTACTAGGCGCTTGTTGCCGCTGCCACCACCACAACGCCACTGCTGTGGCCACGGACCCTGTCATGCATCCTATCCAAAAACTTGATCTGCTACTACTACTAGTAGTGGAAGTAGAAGTAGAAGTAGAGGTTGTCATGGTGGTTTCTCTCAACTTGAGCACTTACTTGTGTGACCCTCAGGTTTCTGTAAAAGCTCTTGATTCAAAAGAATCCCAAAGATCCGACACCTGGTCGTCACTGGAGGGCTCTCACTTGCTCCAATTCGATTCGATCCATCATTCGTTCAATTGAGATCATTCGAATCGAATCAAATCGAATCGAATGATCAATCGGATCGAAAGGCTCGGGCATCGGCTTACAAATACTGCACGTCAGCTAGCTAGCTAGAGCTAGCGCGCTAAAACATACCGGTACCGGTACGACTGTACAGTACCACTTAAAAGGTGCGTCCTGGTGTGAGGGATGATCTTCTTTTCATTGCAAGCAACAAGAACACAAGAACACAAGAACACACCAAAAGAAGAAGAAGCACCGAACTTTTCTGGGACCTTGCTTGTTCATACTGGTACATTTAGATGATAATTGCCCCTTCATTCAAGGAACCAACCTGTTGTGGTGAGTGGTGAAGCATTAGTTAGGATTGCATTGGAAGCAAGGGACATTCGCTTTTCTTGGAGTTGCATCATTAAATTTTATTCGTTCACTGCTTCTTTTTTGGTTGTTTGGACTCACATGTACTTGTTGTGTTGTGATGACCAATGGTCAGTGGTTAGCCATAGGAGCATGTGAGCCATGCGCAGGCATCGGAAGAGACCTGGAGAAATCTTTCGCCAAACTCTTGACAGCTCTTGACCTGGCTGAAGCCTGAAGCCTCCTTCTGCACCTGTGAGAGGAAGAAGTGGCTGGGCGTAGGTCGTTCAGACTTGGTTGCAAACGAAGTGCGACATTCCTCTATCCGGTCAAGTTGGAGACCTTCTGTGACAGTCTGTGACTAAAAGCAGCAAGTAAGTGTAGGCCTAGTATTCACAAACAAGGGGCCCTTCGAATAAGGCAGCTACTATTAGGCACTCTCCTTGATGTACTGCATCAATCAAACCCAGAAAATGAATGTATGAACTGGGGCGTTCGTTCGCGAATAGTCACACATGCCGCCAATAAATCCAACGTGCGAGCCCTCATGCACATGGGGATATATGATATATCAGTGGTTAACCTCACTGAGTGGGCAAAAGAAGTTGCCATGCCCCAACTCGAAGCACCACTCGAAGGCTCACATTGTCCAATGCAAAGCATTGTTCGACATTGCCAGTTTGTGGATTCCAGCTTGCCCTTTGTTCCAGTTCTTTTCAACTAACTGAGTGAATTAATTGCAATCAAGCATGGGATGTCTACGAGTACATGATGCACTTTGCTCGCTGAGGGAAGTTCCTAACCACCGAATTACACGTACGTACATACGCGAAATCGAAAGAAATCGAATTAACTGCCGAATTCGGAAAGGTGACCTCCAAATCCACAGATACGGCGAACCGCAGGAAATGTTTATAGTAAAAAAGTGGAGCTGCGGTTCGCAGGATGAATGGATTTCGAATTCGCGTAGGACCAATCAAAACACTCGAGCGAATCCCCAACTCTAGCGAGTTTCGAAAATCGAAAAGTGAGATCTCGAGATCTGGAGCACGTCCTCGAATCATTGAAAAGTGAGAAGAAGTACATGCATGTACTGTAGTAGCCATCCATTGTCATTGTAGCCACGCCACGCTGTTGTCATTGTCGTCATCATGGACGATGAATACGAACAAGATGCCGCACTACTTTTGCAGCTCTTTATTCTAACGGTGGGCCTTCTACTGTGTCTACCCGGCGAACCTCGGAACCCTTCTTTTTTCGAACAAAGGTTGGCTTGGCAGCGCTACTGCGAAAAACACCAAAGACGTTCAACCTTTAAGAGACGACTACGAATGAGCAAAGAAAGCTTCGACAAACTGCTTTCTTTCGTAGTTGACGACTTGCTAGTAAACGAGACACAAGCTTTGCGGAGGGGAGGATCCATTCTTCCTGAACTCTGTCTTTATTGCACGATTCGTTATTTGGCTGGCGGCTCATATCTCGATATTACTGACATCGCTGGAATATCACAGAGCTCATTCTATCGCATACTATGGAAGACTATAACGGCAATCTGTAAATGTCCGCAGCTGAAGATTCGCTTCCCAACTACCAACAAGGAAATAAAAGACGCAATAGACGGCTTTGCTGGGATATCCGATGGTGGCGCCATAAGCAACTGTGTGGGTGTCGTTGATGGCTATCTTATGCGTATAAGGGTTCCCACAAAAAAGGAAACAGGGAACATTCGCAGCTTCTTCTCTGGACACTATCAGTGCTACGGAGTTAATATTCAAGCCGTGGCGGATCACCATTCACGGTTCATATTCTTTGCCTACGCCGCTCCTGGCGTTTCTGACGACCGTAATGCTATGCGGCAATGTTCTTTGCACAATTTGGTCGAGTCACTACCATCCGGTATTTGTGTAATCGGCGATGCTGCGTATATCCCCACAGAGCGTATGGTTCCAGTTTACCAAGGTTCTGACAAGCTGGTTCCACTCTACGACAACTTCAACTTCTACGCCAGTCAGTGTCGCATACGTGTCGAAATGGCCTTCGGAATGATGCAGCTGAAATGGGGAATACTTGCACGTCCGGTTGGCTGCTCGTTGAAGAATATGTTGTGGTTGGCGCAAGCCATAGCTCGCCTACACAACTTTTGTATCAATGAACGCCTCGGAAACGCAGAAACAATTGACAGTGGCACCGTTGGCGTTGGTACAGGATACATTCCCAGTGTCCCACATGATGACAATGACGATCCTGTGCGGTTGGACGGTGTTTTCACAGGTAGCTTTGAGGGAAATTCACATTTACGGGAATTCATGGCCAATAAAGTCAGGCGTCTACAGCTGCAACGGCCTGCGAAGAACAGAAAGCGAAAAAGTAGAGAAGACGAATAGTACACGGATCACATTTAAATATTAGTATTTTTATTCGGCCAGTGCGCCAGTTTCCTCCGTTTCAATAACTGACGTTTCAATAACTGACTTGGCCGGCACGATCTTCAAGTGTGCTTCAAGTTGTCCGATACGAACCTCCATTGCTCCAACCATGCGGGCTTTGGACAAATCCCCATTGCGAATATCCTCCTTCAATTTACAATACCGATTGCCAACATCGAAATAGTCATTCCAGCTATTCGTTTGAGAGATTTCCTCCGTTACGTTGTTTCTTTGGCTCATAGCTTCCTTCAAATCGGTGGTGCGGTGGCAAGGGATTCCACCACGGCGGATACAGCCAGTTTTCCCGCTTTGCTACCAGCCGAATCAGCACTCCCAGTAAAGTCAACCGTCGAGTCACTCTTCAAATCTTCGTCCATAAATGCCGCAAACTTGCCATCAATGGCCGGTTGTTGTCCACAAAGATAGTCACAGTAGTAAACTGTAACGGCAGGTAGAGCAGACGTAGATTTCCTCACTTTCGTAAATTTTGTCGTTGTGCAGTATGTCCAAAGGTCGTTGCTGTGCTCACCGGATTTCTTCATTTCCATTCGGCATCTCTCGCGTGACTTCATCAAGTCACACACATGTTGCTTAACCGTCTTGAATGTGTGGCCACGGCTGATATCTTTCAGGTTGAAACCGTTGTCTTGGTTCCATGCACTAAGCCTGTCGTTTTCCCCCTCTTGCAATCCTAAGACGGTGTCAAACGAATCATCATCCGTCTCATTCATCGTGTCTGAGACAAGAAGCCAAAAGTCTTTCACGGGATTTCCGCTAACTCCCTTCTCTGAGAGTGGCTGTTCTTCATAGTCCTTGCGTCCCTTACTGTCGTTGAGAGCAACAAAGGCAGTGAAATTATCAGCATGGAAACATATATTCAAAAGTTTGATGAGAGTGTTGATCCTCACGGCTGCGGCATCAGAACCTGGGTTGGCAATAGACAGGTCAGTGTACATAGTGCCCATCTGAATGCTGCGTGCAATCTCCATCCTTGCAGTGAAAATAGTCATGTTACCACCTCCCCTGACTCCACACTTGAGAGCGAGAGCACGGATGTCCTTGCTGGTAAATTTGGACAAGTACAGGACTTCTTCGTTGGGTTGGTCTTTACGAAGGGTCATTGTCATAGCCACATTGTAGATCTCGCCATCCTTGGGACTTTTCTCTTGCCCGCACACAATTTTGTGCTTGTGCGCGGTGTGGTCGTATCCACCAATCATTGCAGAGATAAGCGTGGCAAGCCTAACCTCTTCCGCTTTCTTGGAAATCTTTTCATCGTCTTTCTTCTTTGCAAGCCTAGCGCCTCCGCTTCTTGGCAATCTTTTCGCTTTCTTTCTTCTTCTTTTGAACCTGTTTGGCAGCTTCCTTGGCAGCCTTCCTCATTGCCGGTGATGCCGATCTCTGTAAGGGAGAGGCGGATGCCGATCTCTGTAAGGGAGAGGCGGAGGTAGAACGTGCATGTTCCTTAGGCGAAGGAGTCGTCCTATGACGTGGTGGTCGTTCCCGTAACTCCTGGGCTTTGAGTTGCCCATGTACATGTCTTGGCCAAATCATCGTCGTAGTATTCCAAAGCTGGTGCGGCACTACAAGAGCATGCTGTTGATGCAGTTGCTGTATCTGCATCTGGTGTCGGTGTTGTATTTCATGCAAGCTTAGACGTGGACGAGGGAGAGAAGCTGCGACTGGGGCTGCGACTGGGGCTGCAACTGCAAATGGGACTGCGAATGCGACTGGGGCCAGGACTTGGGCAGCACGGTTACTCATCGATGACGACTCAGACTCCTCGGCTGCCACTTCGTCTCTCTTCCTCTTGTTTCGCTCGTCAGACTCCTGTAGTTGCCGTCCTATATCAATGGACCCATCGCTGCTATCTTCACTCATCGTGACTACGAGTGAAGAGTGCGATGGAATTCGATTCGATTACGGTGATAGGAAGAACTCAAAAAAGGGAAATTGTGAGATAGAGGAGCCACAAAGGGATCCACATGCTTGCCTGTGGATCCACATGTGCACGAGGCTATTGGCCATAGGGCTAGCACCCAACGAGATTCTTTCAAAGAACAATCATGTGGTATTATCACGAGATTTCCTGACGCACGGTGATTGTGTTTTGGCAGAATCTTGCTGGATGCTCACCCGATAGTCTCACCCTAACCCTGCTGAGAGTTCGTGAGAGTTAGATTCGCGAATGACGTATCTACGAATGGTTAAGAATGAAGCCACATACGCGATTAATAAATGAAAGTAAATGTGTTTCTCATGTGTTTCTCGGCGTACGTACGAACCACATGATCGTGGATAGGAAGTCACCTGAGAGCTGGAGAGCTGGAGTGGGGGAGACTAACTAAGTTGGCCATGCAACGCCTAAGAACGAATGAACATCCGGAGTCCTTTGGAATGTCTTGAGAGTATCCCAGTATCAGATTCTTTTATGAGCCAGTGGTGGAAGACGAAGTCAAGAAGTCTTTTAAAAGCCAGTCTCCTTCTGCCTTCTGCCTTTCTTCTGCTCACCTACCATAAGACTTGTGATGTCGGCGGAGCAAAGTGGAATGAGAATTACCGCCGCCACTGGTACTCTAGAGGTCAGAAGATTGAGCTTAGAGCCTTAGAGCTGCTTGCTGCAGCACTTACTGCTTGCTAGCTAGCTAGTGGATCTTAGATCGCGTACAAAATGAATCAGAAGACTAGAGAATGCTTGCACGTCGCCTTCTGCCCGAGGTGAAGCCTTCTTTTCCTCATTTGACATAACGAGACGGTTTTCATGTTCTGCTTGTCGTGATCGTTTTAGAGTAGCAAAGTGGCAACCAGGATTCGGCGGCAACCGCAGAAGGCCAGGATCGACTCAGGGGCGATGGCTCGTCCAATAAAGATGAAATAGACAATCATGTACCGGTATGTGCTAGCCAGTGTGCGAAGCAATCTTCAATCTCGACTAACTTGTACGATTCCTTCACAGGCATTCATGGCTTGCGTGTGGAGCTTGTGCTTGCTTGGCATTGATCGCAGTTGCAAGCTCACAAAAAGAAAAACCACAAGTTCTGAATCAACGAAGGAACCAAAGAGACAATCAACCACCCACAATGACGCCATCAACATCTCAATCTCAGCAAACTGCATGCCCCCAACGTCAGCCCCAGCACCAGGCCATGTCTGAACCACTGACGCTTGTGCAGGTGCTGAGATACAACCTCTATCGTCCTTCAGCGGCAGTTCAGCGAAGTCCACAGGAGACCAGGCAGCACATGATGAGGACGATTGAGGAAGTCCTTGACATCTTGGACAATGAAGATTTCTAAACTCTGGTCGGTGAAGTAACCTCAAAACAGACTGTGCCCGCTGAGCAGAAGAACCAGAGAGCATTCGTCAACAAAGCCAATCTATTGAAGCTTGTTGCTGGAATAAGGGAGAACTGATGGCTTTCATGTTTCAATCTATTTATATTCGTTTAATTCCAAATAGTGTACTGTACTTCATTTCAGCCAACTCTAACTTAGCCATGTAGGTACGAGTACAGCCGATCCCGGTAGCACCACTGATACCGGTACTTCCGGTTCCACCCATCGAAAACCAATGCGTCAACAATCACCAAGCAAATATTCGTGAAGTAGAGATTCGCAATTGGAGTAGAAACGAAAAAGTCAAAGGATGAACCGGCCCCTATATACACACGATACTCAATGACCTCAGAAGAGCCACCGCCTTGAATGGATCAGAACATCCATGTTTCCTACCATTGAATTATCAACATGAGAGAAATGTTCATGGGCAACCTATCAAGGAAGCTCACAAAGACATCATCTCAACTGAGTTTCAAAATGAACCCTGCAACTGTAGACCAGGAACTAAAGGAAACAATGGCAAATGCCTACACGGCAACTGCCTCAACACCGGAATGGAATATATTTGAGCAACCCAACAAAACCTCTGACTAGGCGGCCACTTTGACGATGTCAAAAGACGTCGAACCAAGGCAGGAAATCAGATTCCGAAACTTTGAAGACAAAGACATCACTCGCAAACTTCGACAGAACAGCATCAAAGATAGCATCCCATGGCAAGGGCACCCAATAATAACCCAATCCTCACAATCTGCAACGGAAGTGTGACCGCACCTTTTCGCGGGAGTTGTCGTAGATAGGTGTTGGATCCTCCAAGGGAATTTCGTATCCCTGGGATCTCAGGGAAACAAACTGGGGAGGTCTCTTGGGGTCATGATGATTGATGGATCAGGAACCATGTAGGCACCAATCGTCGACCTTCGCGAGAGCATCGGAGAGTCGAACCTTCCCTTAGTTCATCTACTTGGCCTTGACCCGAGCCCCACGTTGATGTGATTGCTGCGGAATCCTGTAATCTGCAATGGTTTCAAATGATAGTACGCCTGGAGCTTCGCGGTTTGGGATAATGCCGCGAGTATTATGCGTCCTACCATCTCAGTGGACGCAGCTACAGTATACGTACCGGTACGGTAGCTGCCGAAAGCGCATTGCGTTTTAGCTGGAAGCAGTAGGACAAAGAAGTTGCCATACATGAAACTAGCGCAACGACGAATATTGTTCTGGGGGGAAGAGCGATACAGTATGTTCACGTATAGTCTATGATTCATCATTCTATGTGAAGAAAACTGCAGGCGTAAGATACAACATGTTTTGTCACCTGAGTTGGCAACTACATGTATGTACAAGGAGTGGGCCCATAAAAGTCATGCTTCCAGCAAATGTATGTACACACAGTCACTGCAGTCCAATCTCCTTCCATGCTTGATTGCCGCATTGAAGAGCGACGATACCAAGAATTCTTGCGCTTAGCTGTGATTGGGGATTTGCATGGACTGAGAATTGACATTCCAAGTTTGGAACACCGCGAGCCTTTCTTGGCGCCATCTCAGGCGAGGGAGTCCAGTCCAGTCTCCTTACACCGTACACCCACCAAAACGTGGGACAAAGTGCTGGAGTCAAGTCGAGTGGCAGAGTGAGATTCACCCCCTTCGCATTTCTGATGATTGATTGAATCATTAACGAGAACGAAGCAAAATGTGGTAAGCAGTAGTCAAAGAATTGAAATGGTCGATTAAGCAGCGGGGTACCATCATGATTTCGTCAACCAAGTGAAACTGTTGCCAAAGTCTGCTTCCAAACAATGTTAAGACATAAAGTCTCCCATGAATTCATATAAGATAAGTCAAACCAACGACCTACAATGCCGGAGGCCTTCATGACTTTAGGCCGACTCACAAGTTCCTTCACAGTCACAAATACAAACGCATCGGATCCAACAGCAAATGCTCCGAACCAATCAACCTCACAGCAATTCTTCAATTTTTCGTGCAAGTAATGCAACTCCGCGAACTCGTTTTTTGGTGATTTAATTGTTCACGCTTACTCAGATTCACCCGTGGCGATCTTGATGAGCATCGAGATGAGCAGCGGGAGCACCACCGTGGCGAGTAGCGCCTTCACCTGATCAGCATCGGGACGACCATCGTCTGCATCGGCATCGGGAGCAAAACGACCATCGCCTGCATCGCGATCAGCATTCGGAGGATCAAGACCATCCCCACCTGCGGAAGCGCTTTCATCGGTTGAATCAGCCTGAGAATTTGCGTCTCTGTCCCACTCAACATTCCCCAAGCGAAGCCCAGCATGCAACTCCATCGCTGCAGTGTTCAACGGCGCGGACTCTGTAACACACAGCGTCCGTTCAAGGAAGCGCTCAGCCGCGTCTTCGTATATGATATTTGAACCGTAGGCCACTCCAAAGAATGGCGCGAATACAGTAACATGATGCTCAATCAAGGCATCCAATCCATTAAGCAAGAAAAGCCCGTGAACAGCCAAATCCCCGTCACATACCAACGGAAGCAAGACCACAGTATCGTTAGGATCCACTCCCTGCACATGTTCGTCCCCAACTTCTGTTGTGTACTCATTGTCCGGTCCTGTATAGTTTCTCTTCATAGACTCGACAAGAGCGGCAAAAAACAGGGGCCAGTTTACGCCATCCTCCACTTCCAGCGTGGGATGCTTAGCCAAATTAACTCTGTCGATAAACTTGGGCAACAGGGTTTTAAGTCGCAATAATATTCTTCATTTTACCATCATAATAATCGACACTTTTCACACCAAGAAAGTGGCGAAATACGTCCTGTTCGTTATTCGTCTTTTTTTCGTTTCTCTTGCGCTCCTTCCTCTTTCTTGATCGCTCTTTCCTTTGTTTGGGTCCTGATATGGACTTCCTATCCGCCCTTACCCAATCGCTCTTGTCCCGAAACCAAAACTGAACCCTCCGTGAAGGTTGCTGCCTGTGCATTTGACATTTGATGGTGTTTTTGACAATCTCTCTTTACCAAGTACGCCTTACAACGACGCGATGGACTTGTTCAGATCAAGACAACCTCTTGAAATGAGACGGTGCTGTGGTTTGGTTTTGTGTCGTTGCTGTCATCGTGCACACTGGCCACCCAAGCACAGGTACATGCGAAGAAAACAGCTCTATAAGTATTGTCTGGCTGGTACCAGTCTCAAGACCTGTTACGGAACCAAATTGACCTCATTGTTGAGATAATGTATTTTCTAACTCTTCTTCAAGTTCTCCTTTAAATCTTTGACCTGAGCGCCACCACATTTTGGATACTGATCCCGCATTTTCTCACTCAGCTACAGTACGTATACATACCCGTGCCGGTACGGTAGCTGCCGAAAGCGCATTGCGTTTTAGCTGGAAGCAGTAGGGCAAAGAAGTTGCCATACATGAAACTAGCGCAACGACGAATATTGTTCTGGGGGGAAGATCGATACAGTATGTTCAAGTATAGTCTATGATTTCATCATTCTATGAGAAGAAAACTGCAGGCGTAAGATACAACATGTTTTGTTCACATTCTATGTGAAGAAAACTGCAGGCGTAAGATACAACATGTTTTGTCACCTGAGTTGGTAACTACATGTATGCACAAGGAGTGGGCCCATAAAAGTCATGCTTCCAGCAAACGTATTTACACACAGTCACTGCAGTCCAATCTCCTTCCGTGCTTGATTACCGCATTGAAGAGCGACGATACCAAGAATTCTTGCCTTAGCTGTGATTGGGGATTGGCTTGGACTGAGAATTGACATTCCAAGTTTGGAGAACCGCGAGTCTTACTTGGCGCCATCTCAGGCGAGGGAGTCGAGTCCAGCCTCCATATACCGTACACCCACCAAAACGTGGGACAAAGTGCTGGAGTCAAGTCGAGTGGCAGAGTGATATTCACCCCCTTTGCATTTTTAATGATTGATTGCATCATTAACGAGAACGACACCACACTCTGGTGCCCGGGGGGTCAGTGTACCGTTACCAGTTACTCTTCGCCACCACTAAGCTGCTCCTAATGGCTCAATCTCAGAATCACAGTACTGGGATTGGGGGCATTATGGAATATGGTGCTATCTAGTGCACCAACCCAGAGCTTTTGGGACCCAATCACTGAACTGAGTGGCCAGGGTAGGATGTGTGGGATCATCTCAGAAAGAAGAAGAACCGGCACCATTGTCATTTCCTGTCGGCTGCTCGGAGCAATGAGTGGATTGGCTTTGGATTGGCGAAGGCGAGACTCTTTTGCCCTGGTGACCCACCTGGCCCGACATGGTTTGTGTGACTCCCATCCAGCTCTGCTTGCTGTTATGACCGTTAAGAAACCACTTGTCGGTCAACAATCCCACATCCCCACACCCCACACAACGCAATTCTTTTCTTTGCTTTCCTCGTTTCCTCATTGTGGCGAAAGTTTTGGGGCATCCCGCGTCCCTCTGTTCGACACCAGCTTCTCGTCCGGCCGTATCATACTTTCGCTGTTTCGTTTCTAGTCAGCACAGAGTAGTCAGTACTCCCATTTCAAATCTCTACGTCATGGATGTTTGCTCGGTGCTTGGCTTGTTGACACGCTAATGGCATGTCACCAGATCTATCAGTGGTGATTCCGGCAGTACCGCACCTACATGGCTACATGGTTAGGTTTGAGTGGCTGAAATGAAGAAAAACTATTTGGAATTACATAAAATTTAAATATGAAAGCCATCAGATCTCCTTGTTACATTAGTAAGCTTCCTTCGATAGATTGGCTTTCTTGACAGGTACTCTCTGGTTCATGGGCTCGTCAGGCATCGTCTGTTTTCATGGTTGCTTTTTGTTCACAGACCAACCTTTAGAAGTCTTCGTTGTCCAAGATGTCAAGGACCTCCTCAATCGTCCTCATCAGATGCTGCCTGGTTTCGCGTGGACTTCGCTGGGCTGCCGCCGAGGAAGGACGACAGAGGTTGTATCTCAGCCTGAGAGCCTGCACAAGTGTCAGTGGTTCAGACATGGCCTGGGGCTGAGGCTGGCGTTGGGGGCATGCAGTTTGCTGAGATTGAGATGTTGATGGCATCATTGTGGGTGGATAGTTTGCTTTTTGGACTGTTGAGGTGGCTCTGATTGTCTCTTTTGGTTTTTTGGTTGCGGTTTTACTTTTTGTGATATCGCAACACTATCACCAAACCCAGGAACGCCAGTGTGAAGCAATCGTACAGTTGCAGTGCGGTACTCCCGAGTGGCCCTTCAATCCTCTAAAATTTTACGGCGGTACGTTTCCGGTTGCCGCCACAGGATGCTACGCACTACGCACGAACACATCCGTCAACTGTCAACAAAGAAAATACTTATCATAGTTCTTTTCTTTCCTCAATTTTATTGGAACTCAACCTTCTGGGCTTCTCTTGTTGGACAGTAGCTTCCTTGAAAAGAAGTGAACCAGAATCAGTTCGCATGTTTTCTTACTTAGGAGAAGGGAGTGCCAGTCGGAACAAACAAGGGCTCAGTTAGGGACTGATGACACTGGAACACTGGAACGCTCTGGTTCCTTGGTTGGTATTTACTGTTTACTGATTACTGACTGGAGGGGCCAAACAGTAGCAGTAATGGCAGTAATGCAGTAATTCCTCAGTAGCAGTAATCAGGTACAGTAATTTAAAGCCATTTGAAGGCAGTAAATCACAGTAATTGCATTAAAATAGGGAGAATACTGTGCTTTTACTGTCATTTACTGTCAATTACTGTTGAATTGGCAGATTTATTACTGCCAGGAATTACTGACTGCAGTAACTACTGGCCAATAAAGGCAGTAAAAGTACAGTAAGTAACCAGTAACCAGGAATTACTGCAGTAATTACCCACCAAGTCTGGTTCCACGATGCTGTACTTTCAGTACCTTCTAAGATTATTCTTGGAAGGCATAAAAAAGCCAAAAATGGAAAGAATTATGCACTCCCACGGTACAGCTAAGAGAACAAAGGGCAACTTGATGTTTCGTTTGCTGGAACGCTGGTACTTCGCTGGTGCTCGAGTACGGAACTTACACACTAAGTACACGCACTTGCTTCATACCGGCAGATAAGTCCCAGTCAGAGTTGCTGTTACGTCTAAATATTTAATAGAGTGACTCATCGAGGCCACCATCTGGCTCGCACGTTCGCACAAGGGATTTCCTCAAACCTCAAACCCTCTTCCATATTTTGAAATATCCCCAATCCCCAACCATATTTCAGATAATCCTCTGCCATACCGGTAGACCAACAGTGTGTGAGAAAGTGGTTGAAATTAGTAAAGAGAGGTTGGAAGTGGTGAGGGCTTTGAAAGGAGATAAGAAGTTGAAGAAATAGGCGGTTAAAAATCAGGCAGTATAGATGGGAAAAAGTGATGGGAAGGAGTGGAGAGTGAACAAAACAGGTCAAAGACGGCTGGGAGTGGTAAATATTGGGCATTGCCAATTGATCAGGAAGGTGGGAGAAGACCACAAAAGGTACAGAAAGTTGTTTTGAGGCACTCCCCTAAAAGCAAATGTCACCTAATGCCTGATTGCAACTTCACTGGAGATCGAAAACGTTGCCGGCCATTGAACGCGGTTTGAAAAGGGGATGAGCAAACTTGCCCATGGCTCTGTGTTGAATTTGTTAGAGCGTTTTTGTAAAAATTGTGTGCGCTAAGCCAATCTTTTACTTTGGCTGTTTTTCTCTATTGGATTTGATTGGATTGCATTGGATTAGATTGGATTAGATTGGATTGCATTGAATTACAGTTTACTATATAAATAACAGTACTATTTGGAATCCAATTCAATCCAATTCAATGCAATCCAATCCAATGCAATCCAATTAAATGTATCTTCCGGAAACAATACGAATTTCGTCTTTTTAACTGATTTTGGCGAGTCACACTCCATTACAATTGCAAGATTTGCCCATCCCCAAAGGCCTATCCAATTCCAGTCAACCAACTGTGAATCAAGATCGTGCACAGTAAATGGCCGCTTCATCGTAGAGTTGTTGTAGCCTCCTGTTGCAGGACCTTTTTGATTTATTTGTTGGTTGCCCTTTGTTTCCAGTGAAGTACGTACTGCTAAAATGCAGAGTTAATAAATGCATGAGGCAGCTGAAGGTTTCTGAAGGGTGAGGGACGAAAGAACAAAGTTGGCAGTTTGTGAGCTGTCCCCATAGTTGCGTGTAGATAGCCAGCTACTATAGATTAGTCACTTTTTGCTATCGTAGAAGATGACAGGTACCACCGGGCACCGCTGGTACCGAACGGTAGCCAAAAGCCAACACAGGCATTGCAGAAAGCGCCACAACGTAACAGTACCAAACAAATTCAGGCCAAACCGCAAGAGCATCAACAGCCAATATCGAGAAGGTTCCTTTCTTGTTGGTACCGGTATAAAAGAACACAGTTAAATAATTCCTGCTGGCTACTGAGTATTTAGCTACTCGGTAGCGCTGACTAGTCTACCGGTAGCACTCTGAATCCTTCTCACAAAAAATCTTCTCACAGAAAGTAAACCACTCTTGTCCCAAAAACCTTAAAACCTTCCACAAAGAGTACCTGCTTCTTCCCAATCCATCTTCAAACAACGTGACAATGCTTCCATCCACATCTGCAGTTACCTTCATCCATACCGGTACACCCGAGTCTAGTAGAAGTCTAAATGTACCAACGGCAAGCCTTTCAGAACTGATTACTCGAGGAGCCATGGTGAGGAATGCCGATGCAGCAAACGCACGCGATGGTCCTGCTAGTAGAGCAAACTTGGGACATCCATTGATTCCTCCTCGTCCGATCCTCAACACTGGTGTCGCAATTGCACCTGCTCCCGCAGACGGCCGCCCAACGGATGGCTTGCATCGAACGCTTCAGGCCACCATCCTCGCAGCCCTTGATATCATCTTGGATGAGGAGGAAGACGATGACATGTTCTTGTGACTCCTCCTTGAAGGCTCTGTAGACCGACGGTGCAGCGAATGACTACAAGCAGAGGATACAGCAGATCGCCAGAGGTCGGCAAGAAGTGAAGATGTTCTTGCATGCATCTACATGCACGTACAAGCAAGATACATTATGGCAGCTAGATAGTAGTCGTAGAAAAGTATAGATATCCGATTTACGTCCATGTATCAGCTTCAGTGTGCTTGGGTGGTCGGGAGTATGGTACCATACGTACCGATAAGAAGACTAGCACTAGCAACAGAGTCGAGTCGAGTCGAGTCTAAGCCATGATGTGATGTCCTGATGCACTGTGGCACGGTACCATGGAAGCGTCACTCACCGGATACCGGAACTATAGAAGTGGTCACCTTGGCTTCTGCATTCTGCATCTCCGTTGAAGCTTTCTACAGGTCGTACCGGTACCGTAGTGGCCGATGGTATCGTCTTGTGCCGGTACCGACCGCGGTCGGCAGATGCAGACGAGTTGGTGCTATTCGTGAGATTCGAAGAAGTTGCTTGTCAATTCCTACCGTACTACACGGTGCGACCATGGAGGCGAAGAGTGCTACGATTGGCTCAACCATGGGCTTTCTACCAACAAACAGTTGTTAGACGGTACATTACGGTGCTAGCTATCGGTCTATTACTCTATGCTTCCAAACACCGCTCTTCCAGAAGCCACTCGGTCAGCCGGCATCGAGACAAGCCAAGATAGACACACTGTGATCGGCCCCTCCACAACAGTGGAAACAGCATGCATAGGCAGTGAAGAACAAACAGTCCGAGATTATCACGAGCGAGGTCCTCAGCATCATCGGGGGCCAAAACACAAACAAAACATGCGAGCCCAGCCGCTGTGGACGTTCCCAATCGACCACTCTGCACAGTCTTCTTTGTGGCTTTCTTACTCTTTCTTCTGTGTCTCCTTTTTCTTGTGTGTCTTCTTTTGCTTCTTCTTGGCGGGAAGTTTCGCGTCCACCGCCATTGTCTTGGTGCTGGCCTTTTTCTTCTTGGGAGCCGCGCCACCGGGCACCGTGTAGATCGCATCGATAAAGTAGACTTTACCCTGACGCGTTTCCTTGTACGCCTTCTTTTGCGCTGCCGTGGCCACTCGTCGCTTGACGTTCCAACCTTCGTGAGCCCGCACGGCGCGACTAAAGTCTCTCCACGACGGTCCGGTGAGATGACAGTTGGGCTTGATGAGGTTTTTGGCTTCAATCTTGTTTCCGGGAATGTACAGCTGGTCCAAGTCCAACTCTTCGTCGTCGTCGTCCTCCAAGGACGCAGCAGCGGCGGCGGGTTGACGACGAGCGGCAGCCGCAGGACGCGTAGAAGTAGAAGTAGAATTCGAATCGTGCGGCACTGGCTTGACGCGGACAAAGTCGAGAATGTGATCGATCGACACGGTGGGCAAACTCTCGAACAGAGATTCCGACCCTGCCTTGCAACCGAGATGGACTAGATGGACTTTGTTGTTGATCATGGCGCGTTCAACCTTCTTGCGAAGCTCCTCGAACTTGCCAGTGGCCTCGCCTTCACGGGCCTTGGCGGCATCGCTCTTCTCACTGCAAGAACGCCAATGCGAGTAAAGGTACATGTCCTCGTTTCCATAGAATCCGTCCCAACCACCGAAAATTTCGTCCATTGGATCCATCTTGACTTAATTTTAAAATTGGTTTAGTTGATTTGTTGGAAAAGGCACAGGTTCATAGTTTTATGAACGGCAACAAGGTCGGTGCAAAAATATGTCCTCTTTCGTGAAAATGAGAAGGATCTTGCTTGGACTTCTGGTCCATGCCTGATCGAAGATGAGCCGCTCCGCTGGCTGTTTTGAATTTCGCGCCGACGTCTGGCTGTCGTCAGAACTCCTTCGTCACAAGATACACACCTCGTCCACAACCAACGGCCATGGCCAAGGCAACGCATTGTGCTTTTGGATTTGACTTTTTGATTGACTTTTTGTCTCTTCTAACTACTGACTAACTATATAAGCAACATGACGACGACTGGAGAAGACGAAGGCGCAGAGGCTGAACAGCCCATCTTCTCGTTGAGTATCTTTGAGACTTTGTCCAAGTCCCAAAACTCTCATGGCGTGATGCACGAAGACTATCATGAGTATCACCAGTACTGCACCAACCGGTTGTATCGATTGCGTCATGCCAAGCCTGTTCGGCGAGACCTGGTTCACAATAGCAAGTACGTGGAAGGCGTTCAGTTGCGACGAAATGCCTATTGTTCCAGAAAGAAACAAGCCAAAGAAGATGATGAAAAAGATGAGGACGCTGTAAAAGCACCCACCGTTACGATGATGGACCATGAGAATCATCTGTGGGTTCCACTCTATCAAGCCGAGCGTGCTTGGGCTCAAGCCTGCGAAATCCAACGACAAAAGCGTCCCACCAAAACCCAACAACTCGTGCTGCGCAAACTTCGAAAAGCCGTGAAATTTGCCACAACGCTGCAAGATCTGTCCGTCACGACGTGCACGGATCAAACCAAACAAGAAATTGAATCCTACGTGGGGTGGATCCAGGGCAACTACGCACTGCAAAAGCAAGAATACGCGCAAGCATTGACGGCCTATCGATCCTCCATGTCTATCCTCCTAACATTGGCACAACAGCAGAAACAAGAGGACGGCGATCCTCGGGCGTTGGTATTGGCCGATTTGTGGACCACTCGCGCCGAGAGTGTCTTGCGACCACTGGTGCGCTTTTGTCAATACGAAGCCAAAGACACTTCACCCGATCCACTGGAAGAAACAACCGCCGCCACTTCTACTACAGCAGTCGAACAAGAATCGGAAATTGTCATTCACTTCCGAGGCAAACATGTCCCGTTGGACCCCTACAAGGATCTATGTGTCCTCCATCTCAAGGCGGAAGCTCTGCAAAAGCAACAACCTTCTGAGAGCAAGGAGACGGAATCGTCCTTTCTTTCCTTGCTGTCGCTGTACGATGATGCCACTGCCGTTATTGAAGAGGAATTGGCACGCTATCAGAGCATCCAATCGGGACCTGCTGTCAATGCCAAAAAGGAAGAATTGGGAACCTTGGCAGGATACTTTCAGTATCAAAAACTAAACAAGAGTTTGCACAAGAATCAAGAGCGGCTCGCCGAATGTCACTCGGATGCCGAACGCGTTCATGTCTACGATGCCTTGTTGCAAAATGCACAAGCAATCGCGCAAATTGATCAGGAAGATGAAGAAGCCAATGCCCACGTGTTGCGCATTCGAGCATTGCGATGCTGTGAACTCGCCAAGGTCTATCTGGTGAATCTACACCAACCGGCATCCGCCAAGGCATTGTGGAAACAAGCCATGACGTTGACCAAACGAGCCACGGAAGAATTGGCGGCCTGTGACACGCGCGACAAGCAACACGAACAAGAAATTGATGCCTACTTGCAAGAATTGGAGGACTTGCAAACACACGAATTGGCGGTACTGGAAGTGCGATGGAAGGCGGCCTTGTTTCTACAAAAGTCGTCGGGAACGGCCACGGGTGGATTCACTACTGTGGGGACAGACCGTCCCTTGTGGATGCGATTGGAAGAGTTTGATCCTGGTACAGGAGGCTCGCTGGTGGACAATCCACCGAGACCCATCCCGATGCCCTGCAAGTCCGTCTTTTATGATACGGCTTGGAAATACTGTGGTGGGAACTTTCCCGTGGATGAGCTAGAGGAGGAAATCGAAAAGCAACAACCCAAGCAATCGGGAGGAGGCGGTTTGTTTGGATGGCTAACTGGCTAACTGATTATAGACGGTTCATCATGTTACTTGTACTACTTCGACGTAGGTTTTGCTAGCTATTGATGGATTGAATTACTATGAAGGCAATAGGAACTCTTCGTCCCCCTTGACTCACGTACGTTCAGCCTTCATGTAGGGGTCAAAGTTGCTAGGCTTGCACTGAAAAGAGCCCGACGTCGTTTCGCAATGATTCCTTCGACATGGAGTTCATATAACTGCTTCATCTAAGTTCTATGTATGTTCATTATTTTGTTTTGCTTTGCTGGCAAGTATCCTGGAGAGTGCCAACTGCGCTCCTGCGATACCTAGACATATTCCTTCTCGTTATCATGTGCAGGTCCATCAAACTCCTTTTGGTTTCTGGCCCTGCTGGCAACCACTGCGACAACCAAGGCCAACACGACGAGCAGTAAAGTCACACCCACGGCCAGTTTCACATTGGGACCACCGGTAGGATCGCTCGTGTAGACGGTGGCTGCTACGTTGTTGTTGGGTGTGGGGGCAGCGGTGTTGGCCACGGTAGCTGGATCATTGTTTGCTGGTGGGGCATCCGGGTGGTGACATGGCTCGCCCCCAGGCATGTAGATCCGGTCGCTGTTGGCAATATCCATAACGCCACCGAGCTCATCGCATGTGACGCCCAAGCAGTCAAGATTCTTCTCCAGCAGAGTCATGACAGTATCGTAGCTGGTTGTTCCGACGCCATTGGCCACTCTCATATTCTGGTAAATGGACTGGGCTGCGGTTGCATCGCAATGGTGGATCAAGGGGAGGACTGCGGCTGAGAACACAGCTCCGGCTGCCTCGAAGTCATGACTGGCGTCATTCGATTGGTAGCCAAGATCCATCGCATAGGCATAGCGGATGAGACCTTGAATCAAAGGAATTTGCATCTGATGAATGACGGACATGGCATCCGCCTTGGCAGCGCCGCAGTCTCCGTCCAGCAAGCTTCGCTGCCCCGAATTGAAATAGTTGAAAATTTTGAGGTTGACATCAGCATGTGTCTTTTGCACCTTCTGGCCACTGACGATCTCCACTGCATCCGTGCAGGTACCACTGAACAGGCACTGCTCCTCTGCTAGTGTGTAGAGAGTGTGCCCTTTGAAGAACTCTCCGTCGGCTTGCTTGGCAACTGAACCTGTGTAGAAGGCCACAGCCTTGTCCCAAGCATACAGTTGGAGATCTTTGGGCTTTGTGGGGTCATTCTTTTCACACATGTGAACGGCGTGCTCCATTTCAAGAACCACCGCCATCCAAACATTCAGGTAGATCGTAGCTCGCTTGGCGGCCTCTGTCAGGGTACAGCCGTGAGAAAGAGAACAAAGTGAGCAGCTAGTTAACATTTGGAGTACGACCGTTTGAAGACAATAAAAAAGACGCACCTGCCCTTCCGTCGAGCTTGTAGTTGTAGAAGTAGAAGTCACCATTCTTGAAGTCGTGGGTGGCTGTTTTGAAGAAAGCCGTCAAAATCACTTGCCATTGGTGAAGACGAGGGAGTGTGTGAGAATGAAGTGAGGAGACAATCCCAGGGAGTACAAATGAAAGAAAACAAACTCGTATCCATACCTTGGTTTCCGTAGTCTGGCACTCCGTAGTAGTCATAGAACTTCTGAAAGGTGTCACTGCTGCTGATCTTTTCCGTGACACCAGGGTCGTCTTTCTTTAGGTCTGCACTTAGCGTCTGCAAGGTTTGAGTGTTGTTGTTCGCAGCGGCTTGGTTGTACGAGTATTCATACAGACCCATGCCATCAATCTCGATCGTGCCAGTTGGAGCATAACATCGTTGGAAGTTTGGATTTGGGTTGCCCCCAACATGACAGGCAGTCCAAGCCCTTTGCACCGGATAGACATGATACCTCACTTTCAGCGTAGTTGCGCCGGCATTGGCGGCCTTCATGGTCCTACCTCGGACATAGTTGCCGTCAGTGTTGTTCCCATCAATATCTGTTCCTTCAGGCACATCAAAAGTCAAGCCTCTGTTCAACGTCAGAGTAGCATAGGACTGGGAAAATGCACCAAGCGTGTAGACGTGGAAGGCGTTTTCAAAGCCTTCATCGTTGATTTTATCCAGCTCACTCTCAAACAATGCTTGATCCAAGTCGATAGCGGCATCATCAGTGACGACCGTTGTGGGCGTATAGTCGATGATATCATCCTGAGTACCGAGCTGGCGTTGTCCGCCAGCACCAGAACGAAGAGAGTGGCCCTCGACTGCACCAGCCCCAGCATTGGTGGCCACAAGCACGAGGTTAAAAAGGAAAAAGGTCAGTTTGATCATGACTGGTCGGTTCAGGAAGTGATACGATATGTTTCAAGTTTCAAGGAAGCCAGGGCTTTGGGAAAGGACGCAATTTTGTGTCTTGAAACCACCCTGCAACACATACGAACATCTTCAGCTTGCCTTCGTATCGTTCTCCAGCGACGAATTGTATGTCCAGTAACGAGGGTGGTTGCCGTCTTCATCTTGCTGTAGACTTCGTTCCGACAAATGACCCTCACCGGTGTTCAAACCATCATCCAAATGACTTGAAGCCAGTAAAAAGTATGGTATTGGTAATTCAGGTAAATCGGAGGTCTATGGTTACATTTGTATGTGAATATTTACATGTACATGAAATAACATGTTTACCACATCTACCTGATATCTAACTATGTCTTCCTTGAGCCACCCATGCCGTATTCGTGTCAGAGATACCAAAAGACCTTATGAGTCCATCGTTCACATTGCACCTCTTCCAAATCAACTCCTCATGAACTTTGGAGTCAATGGCACATTGGTTCAGCAGGAGCAGTCACAACCACACAACTGCTCTGTGCAGTCAAACATTCGTCCAGAGGGCCCAATGCATTGTTCAAACCATTTAAAGTCACAAGTACCATTGATGACACAAAGAGAGTCTGGAATTGAACCAAAAAGCAGTGGGTTGCCCTCAATATGAAAAGTGTAAAGGGATTCCCCCAGGGAAGCCAGCTCCTCTGGTACCGTTCCACTGATAGAATTGTTTCTCAGGGAAAACCATTCCAGCGATGTCAGCATCCCAATTTCAGAAGGGATTCCACCAGAGAAAAAGTTGTCTCCCAATCTGAGATGACGTAGATTTGAAAGATGGGAGAGTTCATTGGGAATGGTACCAGATAGTTGGTTCGAGGAAAGTCCCAAGAAGTGGAGAAGTGGAAGCAGGCCCAGTTCAGATGGAACGGTGCCTGTATGTGAACCCCACCTAAGATCCAAAATGTATAGTGAAGATGAAAGATTTGCAAGCTCTGTGGGGACAGACCCTTGTAGACCATAAGCGGCCATCATCCAAAGTCTTGAGAGATTTCCAAGCTCACTTGGCAGGGTGCCCGTGATCCTATTACCGACTGAGACCAGCCATTCTAGAGATGTAGCTTGGCCCAGCTCTGTTGGAAGGGTTCCTTTGCCAACAAGAAATTAGAAGAATTAGCGGTTCAGTGGAAGCAGCTGCTACTGCTAACATTGACATACATTTTGACGAAGCCTTACCAGAGAAATCCAAACCATCAATCACTAGGTGTCTCAACTTCTGGAGATTCCCTACAATTGAGGGAATACTTCCTTGCAGGTTGGCGTTTCGTCCAATTGAAATGGTGTCTATGTTTGGGAGGTGCCAGATTTCGTCTGGTACTGATCCTTGGAGCTTGTTGTCGAATAAGAAAATGATTTCCAAAGACGGCAAGTCACCCATTTCCTTTGGCATTGATCCAGACAGCTCTGCAGAGACAATAGAAATTCCCTTCAAGTCACTCAGCTGCCCAATGTAAGTGGAAATTGTACCATGTAGTTTATTGACACCAGCTGACATGGATTGCAGGGAGGTCAGGCTGAAAACTTCTTCTGCCAGAGAACCCACGAGGTTGTTTGAGTCCAACCACAGATGCTGATACAAACCTTGGTTGTCACATTTGTTGTGAGGCATCGGCTCCAAAAAGCCTGAAAGGTATCCAGGGTAAAGATTCTGCAGGATTGTCTTGAGGCCATACTCTTGATTCTGAAACCATTCACATTCATGCATGCTGTAGCTTCCCCAGCCTGTATTGTTTAGCCACTTGGTTGGACCGGCAGTGGCATAAAAGACAGTCATTAGCGCATGCCTCTGACGGATCCTCCAGTCTGGATATTCGTAGACATGGGGATCATCAAGAAGCCATTCCAATGCCTTGTATTGTGGCGACTCTTTGTCTTCCACTGCTTTGATAGTATGATCTGGAAGTAAAGATAGAAGAGATGGTTCCAGTGAGGTTGGGGCCATCGACGGAACTACCGTTGGTTGGTTAGTTGCACCAGACTGATGAGTGTCTGAGACAAGAAATACAATCAAAAGCACAAGCACTCCCATCGACACAAGCCCCGAAAATGTGCAAATTGCAACCCAGTGCTTATCCATTCGCTCTCTTGTGGCATTTCTTGCTGTTGATGGTCTGGCTTGTTGAAGACTGTGTGGGTCCACTTCTTCAACCGAATTGGCAACTGCTAGAAAATTTCTGCTGGTTGCTAGCTGTTCAGATGCATGAGTCCTTTGGTGGTCATGGTTATCCCCACAATCAAAACCATCCAGGTTGTTAGTATTTGCTTCCGCTGCCGTCCTGAATGTCCCATGTTCAAACAAGTATGCACCGGGTGTGATTTCCTGTCTTTCGGTAATTGCCTGGGACACAGAAGGCACTGGCAAGATTGCGTCACCATCACCGGTAGCAGGATTTGGTGTGGGGTATTCCTCAACTTTCTCTGTACCAGCCAATGATTGGTCCTCAGCATCAGGGCTTCTTGCTTTCTTTAGATCAACCTCAGTCGTAGTAATGGTGTTCTTGGCTGATTTCTTATCCGCAACAGCATCTTCTAATCCAGGAAAATTGCCATAGTACCAGAATCCAGGAGAGAGTTCTTTGTCTGTCATCAGATCACCATCAGGGAATTCCTCTGGTAGTGAGTTCTTTTGCGGGTCTATCATGTCCTGTATCTTGGGCTTCACCTCGTTGTTCATAGTCAAGGAGTGGTTACTGGCTATTCGTAGGGCTTAGATCTCTAGCTAGAGAGGGAGCTATGGTGAGGATGGGGTGTAGAGATTTGTTCGAGTTGTGCATTAAAATTCCTTTCGAGTCTCAGTCGAAAGGCTTTCGACACCACGTGGCTGGTGGAGGGTGGACGAAACCCTTCGTTGGCCCGCTGAAGACGGCATCGACCACGTCCGCAACGATGTTGACTTTTCCTATCTCTTCAGCAAGAATCGAATCGTACAGTCTCAGTTAGAGATTAGAGAGCCACGAAACACCAGGAACCCTCTGAACTTTCGAATATTCAATAATGCCGAGACTTGCATGCATAAACAGGCCGTGCCCCTCCACCCGCCGGACTTTTTGTTGACTTCATTATTTGGAAAAGGACCACCAGTTACTTGTGCTTGTGCCCGAACGTGCCGCCCTCAATGAATTTTTGGTGATTTGATGAATAGGGATGAAAATGAACTGTACTGGTATGTGAACTTTTTATGTGTGATATGCGTTTTAAAATTGGTGTGAATAGTGATGAAAATGATGAATCTATGATGACTGGTGATGAATAGTGATGAAAATGTACCACTGTACTACTGTTTTACTATAGGTGGTGATGAATTGTGATGAATGGTGATGAAAATCTGACTATGAGATGATTTTGGTTGAATGATGATGAAAAAATGGCCTAGTGATGAAATTGTGATGAATTGGTGATGAAAATGATGAATTGGATTTCAGATGATGAAAAGCAGGACCTTCCTGGTGGTGTGGCAGAGTAACGTGTAGTTCGCTAGCTACCACCTGGTACCGGTTGTTTCTCAGTAGCTAGCTAGCTAGCTACCGTATCGAAGCTAGAGTGTGTTCAGATGCTGTCCCTTGGACCATGCCCTATTATTGCCTTGGTCCTGTCGTTGGAGGTGTCAGGCAGCGTGGTCTGAAGATTGGCTGACCAGGAGTGCGGGGCGGCAGGGCTCGAAGGTGGACCTGGAATGTTGCCTGGAGGAGGTGGCTGGTCTGGGGTAGACAATCAATAGATAGCTTTGTATGACACGGCATGTACATGTACGTACACACGAAACATCTAATTTAAAATTAATACACGTCTTTTTGAACTAGCTAGCTAGCCATAGATTCCGCATGTTCCACGGAAAACTCGTCCATCCATTCTGCTTTCTTCTTCGTTCGTTCGTTCGTTCGTTGTAGCCTAAGCTGTAATACCATTGTTAGTAGCTGTCGTAGTAGTAGCAGTAGCCCCGCCCTTGTTTCGACGATTGCGTTTGGGAACTTGAGCCCATGAATCGCCATCACCGTCGCCGTCATTGTTGGCGACGGAAGCTTGCAGTCGTAGCTGTTCTTCTTGCTGAAGTTGCAATGCCAATGCAGCATCACTCTTGACTGTATCTTCTGCCGCCGCCGGTGGTGCGACTTTCTGGCTGTCCGTATTCTTGGCTTTGACTTTCTGGCTGTCCGTCTTCTTGGAAGGAGCAGTAGGGGGCTCGGATGTAGCAGCAGTTTTCTCCTCGACCTTTTTGGATTCAGTTGTAGGAGTTGTTTGCGTAGGTGCTGGAGCACTTTGGATGTTCTTTCCCTTTTTCTTCTTCTTCTTGCTGGTTGCCACTTGAAAGCCATCGTCGTCTTCATCAGCGTGCTCATTGTCGTTGCTCGCTGGGGGTGCAATCTCTGCTACTTGTGTTGTCGTTTCGGCAGTTTCCATATTGTCCGACGTCGAAGGAACAGGAGATTCTTTCTCGGTTTTGTTTGGACTACTTGAAGTCGGATTCTCTGGCTCGGGAGTTTCTTTTGGTTTCTTTGGCTCAGGTTTTGTCTCTTGTGGTTTTGGTTTTGTCACCTCTTGCTTCTTGGCTGGTGGGTCCTTTGTTACTTTCTGTTCCGCATTGTTCTTTTTCTTTTTGGTCTTTTGGACATTGTTGTTGTCAGGTTGCTTGACGCTAGCTACTTTCTTGTTTCCATCTGCCTTGCTACTGTTTGTCTTGGCGTTGTTGTTGCTAGTATTCGCCTTGCTGTTTGTCTTGTTGTTGCTGCTGGTTTTGTTTTCCTTGGCTGCTTTGTTTCCCTTATTGCCTGGCTTGTGTTCCTTTTTGGCCTTATTGTTTGTCTTGCTGTTGATATGTTTGGGTTTGGATTTTCCTCCTCCTCCTTTGGAACTGTTGTGTCTTTGTTGCGAGTTGGGTGGTGGAAGTGTCAAAATCTTGCGCAACTGATAGAGCATCAATCCCAAGAGGACCAAGATGACAACCCACTGCAGGACAGGGACATTGCCCGATTCCATGCGATCTCGCAAATGGTTGTACGACGATGATTCGGTAGTACTACTACTAGTACTACCAGAAGAACTGCTACGCCTTGATCGTTTGCCACTGGTGGATGTCTTTTGACGTTTGGGCGGTTGTTGTTGCTGCTCCTTTTGCGCTTGCGCCACTTGTTCGGCCAAATCGGGATCTTGATAGAGTGCCTGCATGACTTCGTCTTGCGTCATGTCTTGCAAATCTTCCAATTGCAACTTGCGCGGGGGTGGAATTCCACTTCCACGCGCTCTTGTAGCAATCATGGCGGGTTGTTGCTGCTGTTGCTGTTGTTGTGCATCGCGTCGTTGTGGTTTGGGTGGTTTGGCGTTGGGCGTCAGCCAAGACCCCTTTTGATGGGCTTCCGCTTGAAAGTCGAGCGACGATTTGCGAGGCCGTGGTTTGTCCGACAAGAGCTGTTCCAGCAATTCCGCATTCAGATCGTCGGCATGAGACGGATCCGATGCGTTGGGGAGTTTCATCTTGCAGCTTTTGCTTTAGTTTGCTGAAGATCGATCGATGGATGTCGAAGCCTTTGTCAAAGAGAGCTGGTTTGTGTTTTATGTTGTTGACGAGTATCTAGCTAGCTAGTAGCTGGTAGTTGGCGCAATAAGGTGAGCTGTTACTGTTGCTGAGAGTATGGTACTTTACAACTGGAACGGTACCACTCAGGAGGTTACAGGTGTCAAAGAAGCAGGAAGGCAAGGCCTCAGAGCAAGAGAACCGATGGATGGTCACACTTCCAAGCCCAAAAGATCCAAAATCCTACAGCTGTGACAACGGCTTCCGTGGAAAATGTCATTCACTATCAAATGGGACTGTCACTCGTCACACAACTTGACTGACGTCATCCTCATCCTCACAAATTGAAGAAGGACGAATGAATCAGCTTCATCTCCTCTTCGAGGCTGTCCCTTCCACTGTTGGTGACATCTCTCAAGAAGCCACGGCAACTTCCATAGTCTAAAGACTCCCGTGTTTGACCAAGTATCTCTCATCATGGCGTCCATACAAAGACATCGGTTGCAATGGCTCACTGGGTTGGTGTTTGCAGTGTTGCTGGGCTGTGCTTCGGCCTTTTTGTCGTCTCCTTCATCTCCACTACTGACTCGGCCATTAGTACCCACTACATCTAGTAGTAGCTGCTTGAATTTGGCCAAACGACGAGGCAATCTGGGATCCATTGTCGATGTGGCGGGCGATTCGTCGTCATCCTCCAAGCGTCGCACGCAACCCAAAAAGAGATCCAAGCGATTGGCCAACAATAGCAGCAGCAATAAAAAGAAGAATTCGTCCAAAAAGGACGATGCCACTGCCGCTTCCGCCATTTCACCCCTGTTGCAAGAGTGGGCATCGGGACAACAACAAGAACAAGATAATGATATCCAAGAAGACTCAACAGCCGTGAGCACTGCCAGTGCCACTACTTTTACGTCCTTTCAAGAGGACGAGGAAGAGGATACCCCTACTAGCAATAAAAAAGGCAAACGAGCGTCTCCCAAAAAACAGAAATCCCTTCAAAACGAACAAGACGAACAGCGCAAGGAACTCGTGCGCTCTTTGGTGGCAGAACTCAACGACGTCTTGGACACATCCAAACAAGCCAATAAAAAGACGGCCGATATGAATGACATTCTAAAACCCATTCGACAACTCATTGCATTGCCCAATGCCAATACCAATCTACGACAATTGCTTGCCGGACAAACACGATATGACTATCGATTGGCATGGGTTGGATCGGATAATGCCATTTGTCACATGGGTACGGGATTGCACAAGGTACCATTGGCGCGATTGCAAGAAGTCTACCTCAGTGCGCTTGGAAAGTCACGAGTCGAAGTCCTCGAAGTCATTCGCATTATTGGACCCTTTCCCAATGCCCGCAACACATTGGAAGGAAGTGGTAAAATTGGAAAACGCAATGTCGAATACAACGGCGATGGCAGTACATTTTCAGAACTGTCCGTCACGTACGATTCCATGATTGATGGGACCGGCAATCGCATTACGGCCGGAGTCGAAAACAATGTCCGCAATTACAATTTGCATATTTTGTTTTGCGATGAAACGGCCATTGTGGCCGTTGTGCCACCCACTGCAGAAGCGTCGTGGGAAGATCCACTGCAAGACAATGGAGCCAATATTTTGTTCTTTGCACGAGAAGAAACGTTGGAAGAAAACTTGGACAAGATGCGGGTCTTGTAGACAGACAGACTTAGCTATGCTATGATAGGCCAGGCTAGCTAGACAAGAAGAAGAACAAACCTACTGGACAGCCAGGCAAGAGGAAGGTAGGGAGGAAGGAATGGATAGTACTAGTATTATCAAAGCGATACTTAATAAACGAATACGTATACACATATACGTAGTGGAAGATTTCTATTGCCGTAATTGTTTGAGGTACCGGTCGTTGCCACCGAGGTGCTTACCATGGAGGAGGTGCAGATTGTTGCCACCGAGATGCCCGCAGACTTTTGCCGCCGACCGCTGAGTGACCTAGAGGTGCAGACTTTTGCCACCGAGGTGCGTACCGTGCCAGCCATGGAGGTGTGCCCTGCCGAGCTGCTGACCCTAGAGGTGCAGGTTTATTGCCACCAAGATGCCCGCCCCAGAGGTGCAGATTTCAGTGGAGGTGCAGTTATCTGCCGCCGAGGCGCAGAAAAATTTGCCGCGGAGGTGCCCACCATGGAGGTGCAGTTTTTTTTGCCGCCGAGGTGCACCCCTCAGGTACCGGTAGGTACCGGTAGAGACCCGTAACATTTGTAGAAATCCCCCTTTTGTAGACTTTGTCTTCTGATGGCTCAGACGTGGGGTCTGAAGTTGGTCCAATGGCAGTATGCATCTAGATAATTTCCCTACTCTAATCCAACATGCATTGTCAATTTCTCCATCAACCATAAAGGTTCTTCCAAGGGATGGACATTCCTTTAGTACTGTAGCTCCTTTAGTCTGGCCTTGTCTTGGACCTCATTGCAGACCTAGAAAATCTTGTAGAAATAGACAACGTCCTCTAAATAAATCAGACAACATCCTTTAAATACTGTGTAATTATAGATCAGTTGAACCCACGTTTACACCTATGGGCCCGGAGTTGAACCCACGTTTACACCTAAGGGATTGTAGTTGAACCCACATTTACACCTATGGGATAGGTGTTGAACCCACAAAACCAACCCTTTTCACTAAATTCCTTAATTAATTTTGTGGGTTGAGCAACCCACAACCCACAAAAGTGAACCCACAAAATTCTACCACCCCTCTAGTGGGGTGATTTTTGTGGGTTGTGGGTTGTGGGTTAGCTGCTACCATAGCAAGCGAATCAGAAGATAATCCACCTACTCTAACCCCCCCCTTACACAAGCTAAACAGTAATCTGTCTCTGGATCTTCCTACCATACCTTGGGAATTCGGCTTTTTTTCAGCGTTTGTCTCCTGTTTCCTCAGTTTCTTGGCTACTTGGATCCCAATCCAGCTATTGTAGCCAGCTACGGTACCGTAGGCAGAGAGTTACATCGATCCGTGACAGTGGCAACAGTACCGAACACACTCAGGTTCCGCTTTACTGGCTACACTCCATTACCGGTACCTTGCATTGGATCCTTATGACGAATACATGCACAACCGAACATTGTCAATCCAGCCATCGTAGCCAACTACCGTAGAGTTCATCGATCAGTGACAGTGGCAACAGTAACGAACACACTCAGGTTCGGCTTTGCTCTCTACGGTTACCTCACATTGGATCCTTATGACAAATACACGAACAACCGAATATTCTCAATCCAGCCATCGTAGCCAGCTGCCATATAGCTAGTGGCAACAGCACCGAAAGTTCGGCTTTGCTCACTACACTTTGTTACCAGTACCTTGCATTGGATCCTTATGACGAACACATGCACAAAACCGAATATTGTCAATCCAGCCATTGTAGCCCGCTACCGTACAGTTACATCGGCGACAGTGTCAACAGTACCGAACACACTCAGGTTCCGCTTTGCTGGCTACACTCCGTTGCCGGTATCTTGCACTGGATCCTTATGACGAATACATGCACAACCGAACATTATGAATCCAGCCATTGTAGCCGGCTGCGGTCTAGCTACATCGACGACAGTGGCAACAGTACCGAAAGTTCGGCTTTGCTCGCTACGGTTACCGGTACCTCGCATTGGATCCTTATGACGAATACGTGCATGTGCAACCGAATATTGTCAATCCAGCCATTGTAGCCAGTTACATTAGAGTTACATCAATCGGTGACAGTGGCAACAGTACCGAACACACTCAGGTTCCGCTTTACTGGCTACACTCCGTTACTGGTACCTTGCATTGAATCCTTATGACGAATACATGCACAACCGAATATTGTCAATCCAGCCATTGTAGCCGCAGTTACCGTAGAGTTACATCAATCGGTGACATTGGCAACAGTACCGAACACACTCCGGTTCGGTTTTGCTAGCTACGCTCCATTGTCTCACCATTAAAATGAATACAAGAATATTGTCAATCCAGGCTCCACAAGCACTGTTCCAACGGGAAAATGGGTATGAACACAGAAATCACCACCAAAATACTAGAAAATAACAAGGAGGGATGAATCCGGTAGGAGGATCCACTCTCTTGTGTGTTGTCGTGTAGCCTCCTCCGGTTAACTGTTGCCTCTTCAATGACTCGACGACGTTCGTTCATGCTGTTGGCAGGGCTGGAGTTAACAGTCTCCTCTGTAGGAGCGGTAGCATAGCGATCGTTCGTTGGTTCGAAAAGGACTCAACAATGGTAGTTCATCGGCCGTCAGCAGTGCAGCAGAGAAAACAACAAATAGATATGAGTTTTGTTTTCTGTGCTCAACTGCAGACGACCGGAGACTTACTCTTGCTTTTCAAATTGCACCAACTTGGTCGTCATGGGCCGAGAACTGACTGCCATCCCATGGTCCATAGGATTCAATGAGGGATGGCTTTCGCTTCTGCACCAGAGACAGCCGGCTTGAGTGAGGCTTGATAATACGGTACCGGTAGAGGTGCGATCGAAACAACTCACCTGTTGACGGCCGAGCTTGGAATTCTCTCCTGTTTACCATAGGAATACAATGAGGGAGAGAAGTCAGTGCTGTACCTTCAATTAACACTCTTGATAATAGGCTTACCTCATTGCGATCGATCGATCGATCCGCCGCAACTGCAGCCATTGTTGTCGGCCAAGCTGGTATGTCTCTCCTGTTTACCATAGGAATTCAATGAGGGAGAGAAGTCAGTGCTGCGCCTTCAATAATGGACTTGCCACGTGAGAGGATAGTACCGGTACTGTTTAACTTTAACCTTAGTAACTTCGATCAATTTATATCTTTCGAAAGGGAACTTGTTACTTAACGATACACATGACCGTTGATTCTGCAACTGAAGTGCGGCTACTCTATTTTACACAGTAAACGCCGGCAAATCGATTTCAGAGTGCAACTGAGGGGGTAACTAAAAGGAGCGTGGTCTCCATGAGACGTAATTCTCCTTCAAAAATATTGTATTAATAGCGTCAGCGCGCTCCACAAAGATACGAAGATCCAAAAGCCCAGGTTTCAAGAGAACAACAGACAACAGACAAGAAGCCCACATGAAAGTCCACTCCAGTTGATCATCAGACCGTCAGTCATCATTATCACTATGTCATACATAAATTCTCCACTACTTGTTCTCGTTCTGTCCTCTTTCTTTTACCTGGGTTCCAAGCCTTGCACTACCCTCACATCGTCTCCTGTACCGGTATACCAGGTACCGTGTCGTTGTTAGTACCAAATTTTCGAAATTCAAATCTCATCTCCGGGGGCGGTTGGATAGCTGTATCCCTGGTTAAACCACGCCGGATCCTCGCCGGAACTGGTATCCTTGAGGAGGCGGCCTGTTCGGAAACCAAAACCCTGCTTGGGGAATCCAAGCCCACCAAAGTTCCAACGAGGAAGCAAATCGTGAGCTGGGCATGGGATATCCCATGCATTCGAACATGGCATCTGTCTGAGCCTGCATTTCGTCAGTACCAATGGAAAGAAGCGGGCACCTGCAGGGTTGGGGGGTTGATAGACTTTCTGAAGGATGCCTTCATTGACACGGCCATGGAGGCATCCCTGGCGCTTTTGCTTTTGTGTTTGCTCAACGCTGTCGTGGCTCTTGCCGTTTGGCCTTTGGCTCGCCGGATTTCTCCAAGCAACGGGAGGGAGACCATTCGAAGAGCCTTTGCTTGCCTTATCAGAAAATTTCCTCCAATCCTGGAATACTCTATGACAAGAACACTGGGTTGCTCTGCCTTCGTTCGACGGATGCATGCAAGAAAATTTGGATCAAGGAAACTGGACGGCATTCAGATCTAGGTTTGGGTGACTTGTTTCAACGATGGATGGGAAGTTGTCTCGGTACCGTCGACAGTCGTGACGCTCGTTGGAGTCACCTCAAATATGTCTTCCAGCCTCTCTTCGCGCCCGATGCCGACTACGCAAAGTTGTTGGTTGATGATTTGATCCGCCACCGGCACAGACCTTGGAAAAGCTAAATGGCACCGGAGAGCCCGTCCCAATCAGGTGATTGGAGACAAGCTACCTCTCCGTTTCATTCTTCATTTTGGTCTTTGAAAAGTCCTTCACATCCCGAAATGAAGAAGACCTGGAGTCTCTCAGTATTGATGCTGCGATCCTCATGTCCAATGTGTTCAACAACCCATACGCCAAGCGCATCCCTTATCGCATCCTCCCCACCGAACTGAACAAGACATTGAAACGCTTCAATAAGAACTGGGAGAGGATTCTGAGGTCCGCGTTGAAAGACTCGAGTGCACGTGTACTTCAGGATCTCAAGCGTCGATTCCTTTTTCCTTACCCCTCCTACCCCCTCAAACTTCTTTACCAACCCCAACTCTCTTCAACAAAGAGCTCATGATTTGTGGTGAATCATGGCTCCGACCTCAGTGTACAAATCCTTACATAGCTAACAGGCGTCGCACCCTCTCAGGAGGCCAGTGTGGCCGGTGAGCAGACTTGACTGTGGGAAATACCCGAGTCCTCAAGCACATCTCGTCTGAATCCGTTATTAGACGTTCAGTTTTTTTTCAAGCGTCGATTCGACGAAATGGCCAAGGCCAAGCCTAAGTGGCCTCTAACATGGGACCACTTTTAAAAGTCAAACGCTGGTCGAAATCGTCTACGCCAATCAAGATGTCACCATTCCCGCTATGAACTGGCTTCTGGTTGCGTGCTCATTGGATCCAATGGTCGACCATACCACAACCGAGGGGCTGGATGAATTTATCGATACAGTCGGTCGAACCAAGCCCGTCCTTCCACGGTCGATGCCGAGGTTTACCACGAAAGCAGTGCGTATGGAAGACGGCACGGAAATCCAAGCTGGTACGTGCGACGGGATACAGCTTACAATTCAGCTTTACAGCTTTACAATTAGCAGGCTTATTCTAGAAATAATCAATAACTGCTCACTTATTTGGAAATACAAACTTTACATCTCTTAGATCGTTAGATTAGACAATCCACAATGGTATTGTCGCATGGTAGCATGCGAGGTTATGAGATGTCACTCATTCTTATTCTTATATGTCTATCCCTTATGGTTGTCAATGGAATGAGCTATCCCTTGATGCAGAGTCCTGAGTTTCCTCTCATTATCTTCATCGGTAGTCCTTCCCCTTATTGCAACTTAATTCCCTTGGATTCGCTCGTAAGCAATCCTCCTCTTTTGGTGATTCGCTCGTAAGCAATC